CTCCCTACCCATTACTCGTGACCTTGACGTGTGTACACAATCTGACCTGTACAGTAATGATTCATACATACTAGCTTGCCTTCTATGTAACCACGAATGACAGGTACTCGTATGTGTGATCATAATGCCAGATATCCGTAACGGAGACACAACACACGTTTCCGATAAACTCCGTCTTCTTATTATGTTGTCAAAATTCATAAAGGAAAATGATTACTTCAAATTAATTCGTTTTTAAAAGTGGATCACGGATTGATATCAGTTAGAGAAACATTGGAAATCAGGGAGTACTGACACCTAGAGTTTGGGAATCATCGGCTGTTGGCACCCACCACCGATCCAGGACCTTGCTTTATTTACTTTTTTGTATTATAGCTTGATTCCATGGAATTTTCAGCGTGTGATATCGGTAGCCAAAATTTCGCAGGCCAACCATAGATATCAGGTGCGCATCGGCGTGGGCTCGAATCCCGGACCATGTGCATGATCGGCGAGAGTTCTAACTGCTGTGCCACCGACACACTTGCTTGCTACAGGACACAGTTTCCTGGAGTTCTAGTGAGAAGTCGTGACCAGTGAGGTCCATCATCCAGTCGGGAGTGAGGTTGGATTTCCCACCAATGACATTGGTTGGTGCCAGTTGCACTAAAACGATCACGAATTGGTAGAAGTTATAATTCATGGACTGGCCATAGAATCGGATCCCAGTGGCTGAATGGTATACGCTCTAGTCTGCCTTGTAACCGGAAGGTCCTAGGTTTAAATTCTATTGATGAATGTGTACTGCCGATGATTCCCAAAATAGGATGAAACAACTGGCTGTCCAGTAATCCCTGGTTGATTTCCAATGGTTCTCTAACTGATATCAAAGGCACTGGTTGAAGGCAACGGTATACCACGAAATAACAAAGTTACAGTCCAGACCAAATAGCTGCTGAACGGTCAACACAGTTTCTGGTCTCATAACCTGATGGTCCTGTACATTCGATCCCTGGTGAAGTAGTCATGAATGCACGACGCACTGTTGAAGAAACCTAAACTAGGACAAAACAGTTGTTCAGTGAGTGATCTGTCTCTCTAACTACAACCGTTAGTTCGTGACAATATCACCGCCAGCCTCATAATCGAAATCTAAATACACCTTTACAACAACACCTCTGAACAGGATGGATTTCGTTAATTTAAACAAAATTTCTCTTCACAGTGTGAATTCCCCTTTTTATTCTTTAGCAGCCATCATTATGAATCCATCGATATCTGCACAGTCTAATGTGGCGAAAGAAGAAATTATCACACTGTGAATTTCAGTATTTTAAAATTTATATCGTGAGTTCTTTTTAAACAAATGTCTAGCGAAGACGTTGAACAATTTATAAATTTTCATTACTTCATTGTTATTACCAGTACCGAAGAACGTAAGACAGACAACGACAAATCTTATCAAAAGAACACAAAAGACAACTAAATAAATTGCTTAACAACAAAAATATAATACTGATTCTGATGTGGTTTTTTTCTCTGAGCTGGATGGTTAATTTACGAAGCTTTCATCACCCTACTGGGTGACATCTTCAGCGCATACTTCAATTTCAATTGAAGTGAGCTTTTAGATTTCTCCACGAGTTTATTAATCATCTCTCCTGATCGGTGACCTTGGACGTGATTGGTTCTTCATGTGTGTTTTCACACCTTCTAGGTTACTTGTGTTGGAACTGATTGTTTCTGTGACTTGAACTTTGACACTTTGTGTGTGAAGTTTCTTTCTTATTGGTTGATAAATTTTGTCTATCTCTATGTGTCTACTGATTGATGAATCGCTGGAATACCAAGCCAAGCTTCTAAAAATTCTCTAGCATTCTTGTTGTTTCCTCTGTCTAATATTTGAACGCTGGTTGTCCCAGTCGGATTGATGTCCATGGTTGTCTGTGTGTAGTGATATGAGGGAGTGGATATCATGTCTTTTGACGGCTAGCTTATGTTCGTGGATACGAAGACGAAGGGGACGTCCACTTTGGCCAATTTAGTTAGTGCTTTTCGCAGTTGTTACAATTTATTTTGTAGAGGATGTTGGTTTTATCTTCTTTCGCTGTTGAGTCTTTTGGTTGACATAGAATTGAGTGAAGCGACTTTGTTGGTTTGTGTACGACGTCAATTCCTAAAGGTTTGAAGAGTCTTGTAGTGATTTCTGAGATATCCTTTATATATGGTAAGGCGATTTTCTTTGTGCTTTCCTTGAGGGCCTTTGATTTGATAGATTGGCTTGGGGGTATATGTCATCTGATGAAATTTCGTGGATATCCATTCTTTTTGGAAGACGTCCATGAGATATCTTTCTTCAATTTTCCTTAAGGTGGGAGTGCTGCAATGAGTCCTTGCTCTCTTGAATAGTGTTTGTATGCAATTCATTTTGTGTGTTATTGGGTTGTTGCTGTTGTAATTTAGGATTTCGTCTGAGTGAGTTGATTTCCTATAAACTTGAGTTTCTAATTCCCCTGTTGTTGTTCACTTGACTAAGACGTCCAAAAATGGACGACTGGGACAACGTTCAAATATTAGACAGGGGAAACAACAAGAATGCTAGAGAATTTTTAGAAGCTTGGCTTTGTCTTCCAAAGGTGCACAAAGATGATGTCCCTCTGCGACCTGTATTGGATATGCTGAATTCAACCTATCACTCTACCGCTAAATGGCTTGCGGAAATTCTGGAACCGGCTAGATTAAATCTATGAAAACATAGTCTTTCCAACACTTTTGACTTCGTCGATTGTGTTGATGAAATTAATGTGACTAGTAAGCATATGATTTCGTTAGATGTTTGTTCATTGTTCACAAATGTACCACTAGTAGACACTTTCTGCTATCTATGCGAATTTATTGATTCAAATAGCATGAACATTGGCTTACCAGCTGATTATCTTAAACAACTACTATTGAGATGCACACTGAATGTGCAATTTAGATTTAATGATGTCATCTACAATCAAAGGGATGGAGTCCCCATGGGTCTCCTTTAGGACCGCTCTTAGTGGACATCTTCATGACAAGCTTAGAGAATGGCCCACTAAAGAAAACCATCGATAGTTTGTTTATGTATAAAAGATATATTGATGATACCTTCATTGTATGTGATGGAAACTCTTCAACTGCCGAACTTCTTAGAATATTTAATGGTTCTCACTCATCTTTGCTTTTCACGGTCGAAGAAGAGTCGAATTCCTCATTTCACTTCCTTGATGTTAAGCCAGATAGGAGAGAGAATTTACCGAAAGCCAACATTGACTAATTTCAACAGTCGGGTACCTTTTAGAAGAAAGAGAAATCTTATTCACTCCTTATGCTCTAGAATTCGTAAAATCTGCTTTGCAGAGACAATCGATAGGGAACCAGATAACCTTCGATCAAATCTCCTTAACAATGGTTATCCTACAAGGTTCATTGAACGTAACATCAAGAAAGAATCCGCCCCTAGACAAATCACAGTGCCAAAGAAAAATCTATTTATGAGTCTTGAATTCAAAGGTGACACCATTTCGGAATTGATTAAAAATCGTTTATCTAAATGTATTAAGCGTACTTTTCCTGCAGCTGACTTGCAATTCGTTTTTACCAGCCGAAATATGATTATACAATGCGTCAAGGATAGATTACCGCTTTTGTCCACATCTATGTGCATCTACTCTTTTACCTGCTCTTGTGCAGCTGATTATACTGGATGTTGTAAGCGTAATCTCCGAAAACATGTAGCTGAACACTATCCGGTTTGGTTAATGAGAGGTGATAGAAGAACTGCGAAATCATCTATTTGTGATCACCTGTTATAGTCTGGTCATATAGCCCCACGTGATTCATCTTTCAAAGTTATCTACATAGCGAAATCGAATCGATCCAAAAGTTTACGTTTTCTTCACTTATGCATAGCCGAAGCTTTAGCTATACATGAACAGAAACTTAAATTATGTGTTCAAAAGCGTTTTGTCAAACCCCTTTCTTCACCTTGGTCATAGTAATGTTCTTTCTAGTTTTTATTTTATTTTACCACTTGAATTCTTTACACTTCACTTCACATCTTCATTCTTATCGTAATCGTACTCATAATTTCTAAAAATTTTAGACAATACTTGACATTTTTAAACCATTTTTGGTATCAATTCGCTAATAAAACAATGTTTAGTAATTTTGTAATTCATCCACTTCAACTCTACCCCTTATAACATTTTAATTATCGTTATTCTTATCACTTATATGTGTATATTGACTGAGCAATTATTTAGTGCCACTTAATAACCTTTTTCTGTAATATAATATACGACTGTACAGTTGGCTTGAAAATGAAGTCGTTGAATGGAGAAATTTCTTCGCTGAACACAAAAAAATACATAATAATCGCAATAATCAAGCGATTAAAACACATAAAATCAATGTCCAAGAAACAGAACAAGAAGCAACACATATGAGACATATTCATTGTTCTCCCAATTTCATAATTAATAATAATATCAATCAAACTAACAAACTTTACATTACACTGATGTAGATTTCATCCTCGTCATCTATAGGGAAGGCATATATACACACAGACACACCCAACACAGACAGGCAGGCAGAAGATAGACAGACAGATGAAAACAGCACCAATCAAACTCATCTGTTTAACTAGACATATACACAAAGTTAGCGTGTGTGTGTTCCTATGTGTGTGTCTGTGCATCTATGTACATATGTATTAAGAAGATTTTAGTTTGGTATCGGACCAATTACAATCACTCCCAAAAACATATACGCATAGACACACAGACACAGACATACTCATGCACACACACACACACACAATTATCCACATTTATGCACTGCCTCAGCCAATAGGCATAAAGATTACATAATTGTACAATAATACTGTGAGAAGAATTGAATAAAAGTTACGATTGTATAGAAAAGACAAACAACATTAAAGACAATAAGAGAAGAAGAAAAATAAGGGTAAGAAATATGGATGATCATTATTATTCTGATCCAGGTGCACCAGATGAGGACTGTTGGTGTTGCTGTTGTTGGTTTTGGTGTTGTTTACGGTGTTGTTGTTGCTGTCTTCTCTCCGCCTTTAATTGTTTATATTTAACTGCCTCTTCTTCTAAACGTTTCTATAAGGATTCGAAAGACACAAAAATTAAAAAAAAACGATGCGCATAACTCATACTCAATGTAACTCAATATCAATTTATTTCATATTTGATCACGGATTCATGTCAATTTGAGAATTATTCAAAACCACCATCAGGAAGTATTGGACAGATGTTTTGTCCTACCGCTTGGGCCACATCGGAAGTACTCATATACCACACCACAGGAGGTTCAAATCCACAGTCTTCCGGTTACAAGGCAAGCCATAGTTCGTCTCGTCATAGATTATTCGGTCACTGAGACCCGAATCAATGGCCAGTCATAAATTCTAACTTCTACCGATTTGTAATTTTAGCGTGACTGGTATCAATCAAAGTGTCATCCGCGGTGAGTATTTGTCCTCACTAACGACCAGGTGGGGATTCCACTGGTCACGATTTCTCACCCGAAGTCCACACAAGTTCGCCCTTCAGCCAATTAATAGCGATAGAGCTTCAGAATAATTTTCACGGATTTATTTGTATGGATTTGAATTCTTCCAAGTCGTATCGCGGAATGATATCATGGACCATCGAATCGGTCCCAGTATCTGAATGGTCTACGTGCCATGGGTTTGAGACCTACCAGATTGGCAAGTACTGCCAATAAGTCCCAAGCTCTAGGACAAAACAGCTGTCCAGTACTCCCTGGATGGTTTTAATAGGTTCTCTCTAACTGAGGTTCGTTCATGACGGAATTATTTTCTGTCCGCTTCATGATTCCATGGATGTCATTACTGAATCAATCGTTTGTGGAATCAATTAAAAACAAAGGAGTGGTGAGAAAATATTTTGTCTAACTGTTTGGGACGCTACACCACATCAGGGATCGACTCCAGAACGTTCCGGTTGCGATGCTAGTTCGATTACGACTCAGTCATTGGGTATAAATACAGTAAGTCATGAATTCTGAGTTTGTTCCTTGACGAAGTTATACCCGCGAACTGAAACAGTTGTCCAAAGCTCTCCGATACCCGACTGATAGCTGCTACCTTGACGTGGTAGTCGCGCTTGCATATCGCAATGACTCAACAAGCTACACTGGCTGGAACTATTGTTCCTGCAGGTCCTATCACGCCAGGAAGGTTGTTGGGATAGCGATTAGTCTAAAGGTAGTTACCGGCATAGTGTAGGAATTTTTTTCACACCATGTTGGGGGTATGTGGGTGAAGTCGTATTTCTGGGGAAGTACTCTGGCAATGCTTAGCTGTAAAAGGAATGACGAGAAAATACATCTCACCGATTAAGACACTCACTCACTCTACTCGAACTCATGCAGCTAGTCAGGTGAGAGCTTACGGCGAGTTGTCATCTGAAGTGGTGACAACTAGTGGTATCCATCAGTGGGGTGACCCACTATCCCCATTTCTATTCAATTTCATCATACATGTACTAATGAAATTAACGCTAAGTGACTTCAGAGACTCAGGGATTAACTTGTTACCACCACCAGGGTATGTATGAATGATCTCGTTGACTAAGAATATGCAGATGATAAAGTCCTCCCTCCTAGGTGAGGAAGACGCTGACAAAATGCCCAGTCTCGGCAGGCAAGACAGTATTCTATCACCAAACCACTAACACAGTGCGTCGGTGGCACAGTGGTTAGGAATCTCACCGACCATGCACATGATTCGAGGTTCGATCCCCGCTGACGAACACCTGATATCTACGGTCGGCATGCAAAATTTCGGCTACCGATATCACATGCTGAAAATTTCATACTTGTACCAAAAATACGAAGTGGAATCAAGCTGAAGTCAAAAAAGTACTATGGGGCGTATGTTACTGATAAGATGGTATATATAAAGAGACATTCATCGACACACAAATTAAAACAAATAGCACAGAGACACTGGTTTGATATCTCGCGTTACTTTTAAGACTAACATCACAATACAACTGTGTTATGTAATTGATGAAAGGCATATAGTAGGAGAATTAAAGAAAAATTACCCTGTCGGCTTCCAATTTATTTACATCGACTGGACGTTTTCCTCTGCTAATCGATATACTACCACCACCAGTAGAAATCCCTGAAGATGGATTAGTCTGTAAAAGATCTTGACTTCGTTCATCGGTTTGTTTGTTCAACATTTCTCCGACTGCTGCTGCTGCTGTACCACCACCACTCCTTGAAGCAGTATCTTCACTTTCACGCCAACGTTTTAAACTAGAACTAGTAGATGTGGGGAGTATTGGAGGTTCACCATCATCCTCATCATCACCACCACCACCATAATCGTCGCCAGCATTAGAATCCTTGTCGAGGTGTTGTTCTTCATGAGGATGATGATGATGATGACGATAATGGTAGGATTGTTGATGAATCTGTCGATTTGATGCGTCTGATTCACTGATTGGATCTGTTGTGGTTTGTGTAAAACAAATAAATGAATAAACAAATGCATAAATTATTCCCTCATTGTAAATTTTTAAAAAATTTAGAGTTTCAAACAAAAACATAAAACAAATTTGACCACATATTGATCTCAGTATTATTTAATTATTTATTTAAATGCACCAAGAAAGATGCGCCATACATTTATAAGAAGACAATACATATAAAGTAGAGAACGGATAAAGAAATTCATCTGGATGTTGTAAAACACCAACTGATGCTAATCTAGCACAAACATTCTTCATCCCACGACGCCACGTCATGGATTGAACACCCACCCCTCCGCCTTTCCCATCTCGTCCCAGGGCTGGTAAGCGAACAGAGACCTGTACGGAAGCCTCCTCTCGGATGACATCCCCACCACATCTCAAAGCCACCGGAGCCGGTGTTTCCATCAAGTGACGACACTCAATGAATGGTGACCTCCACTGTGTTCAAACACACACGCCGCCGAACATCAGAATTACTCACGCGATGATACATCGAACGCAAGCAATCCTGCGGAGACAGCGATGATTGAACACCCAGAGTCACCGAACATCCTCAGCTTACTCGGAGAGGCCAGGTTTCACAGGCGTAGAGCAGGGCAGTCCGCACTAAAGCACTGTATACCCGACCTTTGAACGCCAGGCTAACGTCGCGACGGTACCAGAGGTGGCTCAAGTTGATGTACGCCACCCTAGCCTTCATTATACGGTTGGAAATCTCATCCGTCACCCCTCCGACAGCACTCACACAACTACCAGATACACAAAATTATCAACAACCTCAAGTGGTCCACCCGGAAGAGTGAGTGCAGGTACAGGCTCCTGCCAATCTTGTGACAGTACTTTGCACTTAGACGGCGCAAAGTACATACCATACTTACAGACACTGATCGCCAACTGATTAAGTGCGATCTGGGCAGGCTGCATGCTATCGCACCATAAGACGATATCGCCTGCATATACTCAAGGTCGAAAAGTCTATCTCCAGGTAGCAGATCTACACCACCTTCACGCACATCCTTCAGAGCTGACTCCAAATATCATCGATGGCAAAGTTAAAGAGAAATGGAGAGATTGGGCAACCCTGGTTGGGAACAGTGATGATAGTTGGTTGTATGCCACCCTCACTCTACCTGAGGTGTTTCTGTATAAGGCTTTCAAGATGTTAACAAATTTCTCAGGTACACCTCTCTCTAACAGATAGTTCCAGAGCACAGTTCTGTCCAACGAATCGAAAACAGCCCTAATATCAAGAACTACAACGATCGTTGGCCTGCAATACGTGTGGTGGTGTTCCAACAACTGACGAAGGGTGAACACATGGTCAATGCATCCACGACCTGAACGAAACCCAGCCTGCTCTTCGCGAATCAATCCCTCACGTATTTGCACAGCCTGCGAAGCAAGACAGTAGCCAATACTTTAGATGCAACTGGTAGCATACTGATATCCCTATGATTGTCATATGAATTACGTCGACCCTTTTTATAGATGGGGACGATAATGGCTTCGTTCCACATTGATGGTACACTCGCAGCCTCCCATACCTTCCTGAACAATCCAGTTAGAGCCATTGGAAGAGTCCCACCACCATCTTTAAAAAGAGCCGGGGGTAGATCGTCTGGGCGATCTCAGTTAGAGAACCACTGGAAAATCATCAAGGAGTACTGGAGAGCTGTTTCGTTGTCTTAGCGCCTGAGACTCCTCGTCGGTACGGATGAACCCATGTTCGAAATCAGGACATGCCGGTTACAAGGCAAACTAGCTCATAGACCGACCATTCAGCTACTGGGAAACGAATCAATGACCAATCAATGAATGACCCATGAATTCCAACTTCTACCAATTCGCGATTTTAGCTCAACTGACACCAGTCAACGTGTCATCCGTGGGGAGTATTTGTCCCCATCCCCACTGCTCACGACATTCAAACACAACGGGGGGGAGGGCACAGCTCCAAATCCTACCCAACCTAAGTAATAGTGACTTATAGTTTCTGGCACATAAATGACCTATTTCAGGCACCCAAGTTCATTATTCTAAAACATTTACATCACGATATGACTAGAAGGCCTTACGTGAAGGTCTTTTGAAGAGGGGAACGGAGTGTAAAACAGAAACAGAATGACAGAAAAATCACATATGATTCAAGATAACCTTTGAACGCTTATAACTATTATTATTGCTATTCACTTGGGTTCCGAGTGGAGGAGGAGGGGGGGGGGGCTTCAAAAGAACATCCCCATTTTTTCCTGTTCTCCGCAGTCCTCTTCAGTTGGCTGCACGACTGCCCTCCTCCTAGTACGATCTCTTCCATGTCAAAGTCGGACACCAGCCCATCTTCTCGTTTCCCCATTAGGGTTCCACTAAAGGGCCTAACTGGTGCAAGATGTCACCCGACAGTCTGATCGGTGTGTGTCCGACCCACCTCTATTTTCTTCTACATATTTGTTGAGCAATACGTTTTTGGGTAAGTGGTTCGATCTCAGAGTTTCTTGTCGCTAATTCTTTCTTCTAGGGCATTTGATTTTCAATAAGGAGCCAACAAGGCAGCTGTGGATAAAAGTCTGCATTAGCCTGTTGGAAGTGCTTTTTGTGATGCTTAGTGCAAGTTCCTGACACATACACAAGAACTGACTGGCTTAAAATTTGTGTGAAATACCTTTCCGATTCTGGTTGTGAAATCCTTATCCCTAATTCTAATATAACCCTATTTTACGGGCTAAAACTAGATGGTAGTCGCGCTTAAATCGCGAATTGGCTAAACTTAGAATTCAAGGGCCATTGGATTCAGGCCTAATGTGGTTGAATGCACACTGAGCCTCGTCTCCTCACCTGAAGGTCCTGAGTGCGATCACCGGCATAGTCATCATAATGAGATGAAGAGACACGAACAGGGACGAAACAGATGCTGCTGGGACTCCCTCGTTTTCAATGGCTCTCTAACTGACCATCAATCTATGGTCAAAACTTTAGCAAGCTAAACAAACTCGACTATTTCACCCACTTTCACGGATTCCTAGCAAGCAATCCTATGCAATATCTTGTCATTTTTCTGGCAACCTTGAGCAGACTACCCAACATCGTAAATTACATGAACATTCTACGTTCCTCAGCCATAGTTTTACTTTCATCGAAAGTGGACAACACATCGGCTGACTGGCTTACACAAGGTTTTCATTAGCTCGTGTCATTCTGTCTCTCCGACTCCAGTGAAGAATAAGTTTGGTTTTAGGATTTCATCATGAGCTGACATTAGTTAGAGGACCATTGCAAAGCCTGGGAGTACTGAACAGCTGTTTCGTTCTAGTTTGGAACTCCTCATCATTACCTGCTCACCGGGATTCGAACCTAGGACCTTTGGTTACAAGGTTTGGTTTTTTTCTCTTGTGCTTTAAGGTTTCTACAGCGATTGGATAAATTTCCCGGAGCAGAGTCCTTAGTCACACGGCCAACTTACTCTCTTTACCTGGACTTATGACCGGCGAAAAAGCTGGTGAACTAGGAGACGTTTATCAGCAGCTAACCTCGCTGACTCTATGGTGAAGATCATATGCCTGGGCGGCAAGAAACAAATGGCAACAAAATACTCTGGGAATGAACTAACCAATAATCAATTCTACAACAAAAATATGTAGAAGAAAATGCAGATGAATAGGACACACATTCAGGAGATCGCCGAATGACATCACGCTCCAAGCAATAGCTCATTCGGAACCCGAGTGACATGGAGGATATGAAGTGAGCAGAAGACCAAAAAGAAGTCTGTGGGCAATCATAGGGTCGTCAGTGCAACGGTGATATGGAGGAGATTGTGTGAAGAGAGAGGAGCTGAAAGAGTATGGACTAACATGGATGATGTAGGTGAAAATCACAGCAGAAGGAAGACAGAAGCAAGTGGAGACGTGTAGTTGAAGCCCTATGTTCCACTAGGAACTCAAGGGAACAATAATAATAATACTACCACAGTGACCAAGTTTTACACACACATATATTAATAGTGATATTTGATCGACTAGTTAGTGTACTCACCAGAATTTTCTTCAAAATCCAATTGTTCATTATCCATTTCTTGTAGAACTAAAGCTGGCTTCGACTTCATATTCTTTTTCAATTGATGTGATATATCCATTGTGATTTGAGGCGGTGAATGATTCATCATATTATCATAGTCATCATCCAGTTGTGAAACTGATCCTTCTCCTGTTGGTGGTGGTTGTGCTGAAGAGGACGACTGACGGTGATAATCATCTTCGAATAATTCCTCTACAGTTGGATCTACTTGTGTATCACCACCACCACTGCCAGGCATATCAGACACAGTCGTCAGTGGTGTTCCCGTCATTGTGGTGATAGTGGTTGTTGCTGCTGCTGTTGTTGTTTTAAGCAGGTTTGATTGACTAGACAGTGGATTGTATGATCCAGTGGCGAATTGTTGTTGTTGTTGTATAGGATTTTTCGATCCACTCAATGAAGGGATTTGATGATATTGATTATCTATCCCACTGGATGTAGCCGTATTTATATTCATCACAGGGATATTAGAAGAAGAAGGTTGATTGAACATTGCAGCTGGAATAAATGATGATGATGATGACGGTGTATCATAGTGTGACATTTCATCACGTGTGGGTGTACCTGGACCTGATGATGTTGGACTGTTGTTTCCAGATTGAGCGGTGTTTTGTTCTTTAACTTCTGTACTATTATCGTCACCGGCACCACCACCGTCACCAACAACAACGGTATCCGGTTTCGATTGATCCTCAGGTGTCGGTACACGAGGTGGTGTAGGTACATGCTCTAGGACTTCAACAATTGCTTTTGAAATATGAATACGCTACAAAAAAGAAAGGATGGAAAACAACGGTGAAAATTTATAACACATGTCAGTCTAAAGTTCCTGAGAACATCTTCCTTTTTTAATAAAATAATACACAGGGGGAGGTGTGTGACTCAGTATCTATCTCACTGACGCACATAACACGTCAGGTAGACATCCAACTACTCACTAAACAAACACGTAAGTTCAAGACTATTGAAGTTTTCAAAAGTCTGTGGTTATCGAAACGGTTAAAACCATAGCAATTCCACTTTAAACCTTCATGTGTCAGCAGTATGAGGAACAACATTCGAATTGTTGACACTAATTTTAAGACAGTTCGCGCGTCTATATGATCCAGGGACTTGAGGTGATGCATGCGATTTTTTTTTAATTCCTTAACGTTCCCAGTGCTGGAGCGTAGGGCTAATTCAAGCTAGATACCTGAAGTTTCTGTAGCAGTGGTGGTTATGTTTACAGGATGGGGTTGCTAACCTCATGCCCAACCTTTCCTCTTTACTAGCTTTTATTTCTGGTATTCAAGTGTTGGTTTGTAGGGATTTGGTTGGTTACAGGATTTCATCATGAACTGACATTGGTTAGAGAACCATTAAAAAACCTGGAGTACTGGACAGCTGTTTCGTCCTAATTTGGGACTCTTCATCAGTACGCACCCACTGGGATTCGAACCCAAGACCTTATGGTTACAAGGCCAGTGAGCTCGTATACCATTTAGTCACTGGGACCCGATCCAATGGCCCATGAATTCTAACTTCTGCCAATTCACGACATAGCGCGACCCCTGGCTTAGCAATGTAAAGGAGTGTGTCGGTGATCCCGGATCGCACCCAGGACCATGTGCATGGTCGGTGGGCGTCCTAACCATGTGCCACCGGCGCACGCGTAATCGAAAGCATTCCCAACAGATCGCCACAGACCTTCATCAACGGCCACCTTCTCTGTCTCGATACTACTGAAGGATAAATCGACAGTCAGAGAGGATTAGACACAACAAACTCTTTCAACGAATCAACTAACAATCTATTATCCAATAAATATCCCGAAGAAAGTGGAAATGGACTGGACAGATGCTGAACAAAAACCGTCAAATGACATTAAGCTCCACATCATCTGATGGAACCCGAGTGGGAAACTACGAATTGGGTGTGTATTCGACGGTGACATTCGGGAGATAAATTTTTGTGGGTAATCATGCAGCCAACTAAAAAGAAGACTGCGGAGAACAGAGTGAATAGGTGATGCGCTAAATGTGTTGAATTTCTGTCCCCCCCCATTGGATCTCGTCTCAGAGGTGAATGGTTTACGAATTCCATTTGCAGCCGGAAGACCCTGAGTTCGATCCCCGACAGGTAAGCATTGCTGAAGGGTAGTAAACTAGGAGGAAACAGCTTAACTGAAGTGTACTGCAACACAATGAGTCTTGCTCATTCATCATATGACAAACTTCGCTGGTATAATTCAGTCAGTGTGAATGACTACACAATATGACATGATTGTAATACTCCCTACAAATCGATGGTTGTACAGTTTTTCTAATACGCAGTGCCTACGCCAGTTGAGCACACTACAAAACGCCTCAGTAAACGACATGCTACGACCTAGAGTGGGTGAACTTCAGACTTAATCTCAAAATGTTATCACATGATCACGCATTCATAGCCTTTTCCAGATCAATCCTATTCACTGCCTTCATGTGACGGCGAGGGGGGGGGGCGTGAATACTCTTACAATCGAATTGGTGGATATCCGGGTCTGCCTAGGGACAATGGAAGACCCTGCGGTGTACATAGGCTCCAGAATTCAGAAGGATTGAATGGTGTATGCATCTGTCTTGGTTACCGCCACTGTCTTGTAGATCAAACTTCAAATCAAAGGTTCGGTAGTTTACACAACTTGAGACGTGCACCTGATTCAGTCTGGGTGTCCAGGCAGTATCCTAACCCTCGGACAAACTGCGGGACTTTGTATGACGCATTTCTTGGTACCTATAGTATATACCTACCAGATGGTGTCTTAATATTGAAGATAATAATAGCACTATACAACTCCTGGCTACAACTGCACCACACATGGAAAACACAATAAAAGATCAGATAACAAAGACTGATAACGAAAATGAAAAAATTGGATATTTAACAATGAGACAAAGGCAGTGGGGGAAGTAAAAGAGAAGACGACGACGACGAAAACGAAGAGTACTCACCTGAGCTGAAGAGAAATTCTCTACATAACGTCTCACTTGAGCACGCATAGCTGGTTCCCATCGGAATACAGCTTCTAATCGATCCGGTGGTAATTGTAACAGGACTTGATAACTTTGTGGTCTAGTTTTAACACAGCAACGGATAAACCCATCCCATAGTTTTTCACTTTTCCATACCTATTACATCAAAAAAGAATAATAATAATAACAAAAATGAGTGCTATTAGAAATCAACCATCTTCTTATTTTCCTCAACTAATGACTTATCAATAGCATATATATATAGGAAAATCTTGTAGCCCAACGGATAACGCTTTAGAGTTTAGAAAGATCGGTACAACAGCGCTTTAGAGTTACCGTGGTAACACCATCACTCGCTGAGAATAATATACATGTAAATTCAGATGGCAATAATAATAATAATAATCACTGTACTCCAAACAACACTAATAATTATCATTATACAGAATGGAATTCCCAAAGTTTTAAGTTACATATTACAACAAGCGACAACTGGTTGAAGAAGCAGGCGGCGAAGACAGGACTCCAGGTGAACATAGACAAGACGGAGGTGATGAAAATAACCAACCAATAACAATAACGACACCAACATCCAGCGTCAATCACCATCGCAACGGGAGGGATTTGAAAGAGGTCACTCCATTCACTTATCAAGTCAGTCAGTTCTTCTATACGGTACGGATCAGAAACTTGGCGGGCGGGTCACAAAGAATATTTCCAAAAGGCTATTGCAGACCTTTGTCAACAACAACTGTCTTCGCTGGTTCTATACTGAAGATCAGATGGCCGGAAAGAATCACCAACAAGAAACTATAACAAACAAAGCAAGAACCAATCACCAATCAACAAATATGCAGGAGAAAGTAAAGATGGATCCGACACTCGCTGAGGAGACCGCTGGGTGACATCGCGCGTCAAGCCCTCGAGTGGAACCCGAAAGGGAAGCGGCGAGTGGAACGTGTCCAAGGGTAGGTGACATGGAGGAGATCGTGTGAAGATGAGCTGAAACAGTACGGACTAAGATGCATGGAGGTGAAAAGCACAGCAGAAGACAGAAGCAAATGGAGATATGCAGCTGAAGCCTTATGTTCCACTAGGAACCCAAGGGGGTAATAATAATAATAATATTACAACAATTTATCTCCTTTTATACATATGCAGATATATAAAATTGAAAATACTAATAATAATATTATCTTTACTACAATATAGTCACAAATATGTGGGACTGGATTCCATCTCCAAGTCCATTAGCTAAACGTCAAGTGTTAAACATATTGGTTGGCAGTAGCCCTACATATATTTCAAACTGACAAAAATTAGAATTCATGTTCTGGTGGTCATTGTCTCGGTTCTCACAGTAGCCCAATGATCATCAACAATCAACCATTGTGATAATAAGACCCAGCACACAATTGTAGATCATCCTTTCTCACGAATCGTGTGTTTTATCTTGTTATGGAGTTATTATATTTGAATGTATCATTTCTCACGCATATTGTGATTTAGTGTGTGTGTGTGTGTGATCGATTCATCGTCGTCTTTGTCTGATCACCAACCGATCAGAATAAACATATCCAGTCAACTAGATCAATTCATTCCCACAGTTGTTAGCCAACTGTATTGTTGTGATAAGTTGAATATATATATATATATGAATGTTTTGTTTCTTAATAGATGTGCAGTCTCAAAGACCAGCGCCTTTGTCTATTGATATTTGCGTGAGTCAGTGAATCGGAAGGTACAATGGACAAATAGGCATACTAGTGTACCCTAGCCGAGTTCATTACCGCTATGTCTGTCAATCTATCTATTTTTGACGTAGAACTTTGTGCCGATATGCAGCAGTTCAAGTCGCCACACTCCCTCCTTGTAGCACACAAAGCAAGTAGAAGAAATGCATAATAGAGACAGTAAACAGAGGTGTGAGACAAAGGAAGAGTAATAACGAAGATCAATATAGTTTCATTGGGTATTATAAGTCACAAGGGGTGGATGCATCTCCGCCGGCCATTGAGAACGATTTTAAGAGCCATATCACCAATTGTTTCCAACCATTGGTTTTTACGGTCCCGAGGACTCCAACCAGTCAGAAAGTCTACACATTCTTACGTGACTGCCTGGCTTAAACTAACTGTTGTGGATTTCATTGACTGACGAAGCCATGTTTTGGTTTGACCGCCGCTAGCCCTTTTCCAGCCTGACCCATCCTATGTCAGCTAACACTACCCATTGTTGAGGGAAGCGATGACTAGGCATACGTAACACATGTACAATCGATGTAATTTCACAGCCTCGTCGATTGATTTCCCCTCCTTCCTTACCTAGCACTCGACCACCGATGCCTAACCTCAATATTGCTCACCTTATTATACCACCACTTCACACGGGAGATAGAACGCAGGCACCTATAATCAAAGACAGACAGCTAGTCTTCTCTTTCATGTCTTCCACTCTCAATGGCCAGGTCTCACAGCCATAAAGAAGGACGAAGCGGGCTGCAGAGCAGTAACACTGTTATGATAATTAACAGGCGCACACACAACAAAGTAGCAACGGACTTATTCAATTTAATATCAGTTATAACAAATTGGCGACGGAGATTATTTTTTTCTCACCTCAGTTACAGAACATTGTAACTGGGATATATATCGCGGGTCGAAATCCCGGTGGGATTGTTCTGCTGATGAATTCCAAGTGCTAGGAAGAAACAGCTATGTAGTACTATCGTTTTAAAAACGAGTACGTAAGGATGACTCGTGTCTTCATAATTGGGGTATAAACCGTTAAAAGATTCAGTTCTACTCAAACACGAATGAGATGTACAAGAAGAAGAGTAAATTACTACTACTACTAACAGTCAACAAACCTGTTTACGTATTAGCCGAACCAACACATTGATCACATAACCAGTTAATCTTGGATGTAAAGCTAACGCTTGCATTACAGTACGCATAAACAAAGTGGGCAGTACAGGTTGTTCTAAGAGTTGTCCAATTGCAACTGACAAACGTTCTTGAGTAAATAAACGACGCTCAGAAAAACAAACACGACATGCATGCAGGATAGACTGGAGATTTACATAGGGTTTTGTTGGTTTTCCTGAGGACAAAATAAAGAAAAAATAAATAAGTAAATAAATAACAACACATGAATATCAAATGAGCAGATCAATTTCAACGACTTTGTCACCAAAATAATCCATGTTACACTATTATAACATTCGTCCCTTGAGTCCCAAGTGGAATATAGGGCTTAAGACGGTACATTTCCCTATTACGCTGGCTCCTCACTGCCGCCACCACAGTTTAACCTGACTTCATAACTACTCACAAAATTGCATCCCCTCCTCCTCCTCTTCTTCACATGCCACCATTGGAACGACTGCCGACCAATCCATTCCCTTTAGGATTCCACTCGGAAGTGTGTGGAACAAAGATTTCTTAAAGCGTAAGTTCAATGTATCTTTATCCCCTTTGGCATATTTGACGGACAATAGGTTCTTCGCCTACTTTGTTGACAGAGTTACTTGTTGGCTATTCTTCTTGGTCAGCAATTTGATCTTCACTAACTAACGAGGAAAGGAAAGTGTGCAGATGCCTGTTGGAAATGCTTCACGGTGTAGCTTCCCTACTTTAGTGATTGACTTACCCTTTCCCACCTAGTCCTTCAACGCCTAAAAATATTATTATTATTATTGTTCACCATATTATACCATCATCGAACAAAGCATGGAATGACAATCAAATCTCTACCTCAACTTTATAGACTTTGAGAAGGCGTTCGATAGCGTTGACCGCAAAGTAATTTCGAAACTACTCGAGTACTACAGCGTACCCCAAATATTCATCAACCTCATTCAACAGCTGTACGACAACAGCGGCACATGTCAAGTGATCGACAACGGAAAACTCAGCGAGACGTATGGAGTAAACACAGGAGTCAGACAAGGGTGCTTATTATCACCAATGATATTCCTAATTGTGGTGCACTGACTGGATTATGCGTCAGACAGTGAGTGGGAGACGAGAGATGGGACAAGGATATCCTGGACCGACGTGAATAACCTAGAAGACCTGGATTTCGCGAGTGGATGATTTATGTTTGATGTCGCACAAAGTCGAAGACTTACAAGCGAAAATCAACAAACTAGTCGAAGAAGCAGCCAGCGAAGACAGGACTCCAGGTGAACATAGACAAGACGGAGGTGATGAAAATAACCAACCAACAACAACACCAACATCCAGCGTCAATCACCATCACAACGGGAGGGATTTGAAAGAGGTTACTTCATTCACTCACTTATCTAGGGAGCATTGTCTCAACTACAGGCAGTCGAAACGGACGACGATGTCAAATCGAGTCATCGGGAAGGCGAGAAACATATTCATCAGCCTAAAACCAATTTGGAAATCTTCGTCACTCAGCCAGAATCAACAACAAAATTCAGTCGGATTTTCAATACAAACGTCAAGTCAGTCAGTTCTTCTATACGGAACGGATCAGAAAGTTGGCGGGTAGGTCACAAAGAATATTTCCAACAGGCTATTGCAGACCTTCATCAACAACTAACTGTCTTCGCTGGCTCTATACTGAAGGTCAGATGGCTGGGCCGGAAAGAATCACCAACAAGAAACTATGGGAACAAAAAAAACAAGAACCGATCGCCAACCAACATATATGCAGGAGGGTGACATCGCGAGTGCGTCAGGCCATTGCTCGAGGGGAACCAGGCCGAAAGGAAACCAGTGAGTGGGTCGTCAGTGCAACGGTGATATGGAGGAGATTGTGTGAAGAGAGAGGAGTTGAAAGAGTATGGACTAACATGGATGATGTAGGTGAAAATTACAGCAGAAGGAAGACAGAAGCAAGTGGAGACGTGTAGTTGAGGCCATATGTTCCACTAGGAACCCAAGGGAACAATAATAATAATAAACTTAACACAACGCTACGCCTAAACTTTATAGTATACACATTATTATACTGTTTAAGATAGAATGCAAACGTTTGAGGTCAAAAGACAATTAACCTTCCTTCAAGACTATTACTACTACATGGGTGGGTATTTTGCGGTACAACAGAGAGAAAAAGAAAACAGGACAATATACCTTCATTCAACGGTTGAGCTGTAGGATCTCTAGCAAATTCTAATAAATGCACAGCAACTAACAATTCTTCAGGTTTCAGTGGACCAGGTGGTGGAGATTTACCAGTTGGATCAAAAGGAATATTTTTAACGCCTTTATTTACTGGAGCATACTGAGTAGATACACTAGCTGTGGAACAAGAAAAAGACAAAAAAGAGATTGTAAGATAGAACACACATTGCTATAAAAAAAAAAACTGACACTCTTCAATTAAAAGAAATAGAATGAAATTTAAAAAAAACACGAGCACATGTTGTGAGTTATAGCGCACAACTAGGTGGATGGGGTGTCAAAGCGCTCATCCACTAACCACTGATTGTAAGTCTTGGCCATATCTGATGGCGTTTCAAGCCACCGATTCGAATTGTGTTTTTTTTTTTGGATGTCAACCAGGGAATTGTGATTTCCTCCATCCCATGACGTCACACATTAGGTTGACAACCTCTCAGCTTTTTACATTCAGTCCATCCAGATCTAGAGAAGACAGACCGATACAGAAGCCTCTAGGATGATATTCATTCATAGCACATAATCCGAGCGACAGAAGCTGGTGTTCCCCAGATGACGACACTCAATCTGAAGTGGCCTCCATCGTGTCCAAACACACGCTAGTGAACCTCAAAATTACGCAAGCAATTTCACGTAGAGAGTGATGGTCGAAAAAACAGAATCACAACACATTCTCAGGCTAAGAGAGACCAGATTTCGCAGACTTAGAGTAAGTCCGCGCTCACTAAACCATTGATGAAAACGTCGCGGCAGCGCCAGACGTGGCTAAAATTGGCGTATATCACGCAAGTTTTCGCTATACAATTAAAGATCTTATCCGTCACACCTCCGCCAGTACTAATACAACTACCTGTCGACTTCGATATGATGGAGATGATTTGTAGCTCAGGTGGATGATTCTGATTTAGTCGTGTTCTTTCAGATAGATGGTTTATTTGCAAAGCTTTCATTACCCTATGAAGCAACATCTTCACTTCAGCGTATACTTCAATTTACTAAAGTGAGCTTTTAGATTTCTCCACGAGTTTAATAGTTATCTCTCCTGGTGGATGACGCTGAACGTCGAGATTGGCTGTTTTTATGTTTTCATACCCTCTAGACTACTTATATTGGTACTGATTGTTTCCTTGACCTGAAGTTTGATCCATTGTGCGTGAGATTTCCTTTTTATCGATTGGTAGATTTTGTCAATGTCAATGTGTGTCTATTAAATGATGATTCACTGGAAGACCAAACCTCCTAAAATTCTCTACCATTTCTCATGTTTCCTGTCCAATATTTGAAAGTTTTCCCAGTCGAATTGATGTCCGCGGTTGTCTGTATGTAGCGAGATAAGCGAGGGAGTGGATGTCATGTCTTTTGACGGCTAGTTCACGATCATAGATACAAAGACGAAGTGGATGTCCACTTTGGCCAATATAGTATTTTTCGCAGTTGTTACAAGCTATTTTGTAGATGATGTTGGTTTTATCTTCTTTCGCTGTTGAGGCTATTGGTTGACTGTCGACTTCTTCTAACAGTCCATCTGCAAGCGTGACTGTAGGTGAAGGCTCATGACAATCTTGCAAAGGTATTTTATACTCAGATGACGCTAAAACTTCCAGACACACGCATTAGGCAGGATTATTGTCTCCCAGTTGAATGGAAACAGAAATGTTTGCTTAAGCAACATTCCTCTGTTTAATCTCTTTACATGTGATTATGAACAACTTCCAGTTAGGCACAATTTATGATTTCTAGGATAAAAGGTACGCTAAGAATTTGTTGATATGATATCACTGAATCTATCTTTTGGTCTTACTTGCTTTCGATGAAAGATTCTTCGGGTACCTGAGATAGAGAGATGGTTAGTGTTGCGTTACCGCCGAGTCCAGGGGACAACTGCTTGATACTGGCCAGTCACACACGGCCTGTCTGAACTGGTTTCTTGGATTGGTTCCGTATTAGTAAACTTACCACCGGTTACGGACCACTGTAGGGTAAGTCGGGATGTAGAATTGTTAGTGTCGACGTTTTCTAACCCCCTCTCTCTACAGTGCTGAGACATCATAGCTGGCATGCTGATCATCTGAGGGAAACACCTTACTGATGTTACATCCATGTTGGCCAGCAATACGACTTCTCTCTCAGACCCCCATCACAGTGTAAAAAACCCTTACACAATGTCGGTAACTGCTTTTAGTCTAATCGCTATCCTAAGATTTCTTCGTGGCATAGTAGGACCTGCAGGAACATTGGTTTCAGTCAGCGTAGCTTGTTGGGTCGTCGCGATGTGCAAGCCCGACCACCACGTCAAAGTAGCAGCTATCGGTCAGCTTTCAGTGAAAAAAACTAAATCTGTGGTGAGAGCTGTCTGCAAGCTAAAATTGGAGACAACAATTTACGTTTGTGTTTACGTGCGGATCGGGGTCATAAGAAAAAACAAAAATAAAGCCTAACTTTGAGGGACTCAATAACTAATCACGGCAGACTTAGCGTGTGCAAATACAACTCGCAGATATATAGATAATTTTGTAAGCGACGGTCACAAGCAGTAGAGAATAACCTTCAGCAAGAAAACAACCAATCAGAAGACAGACGATGCTTGTCTGCTAACAATAACGCTAATAATAATAATAATAATGCACATAAAAATCTATAAATATCTCTTGATTTTCTCTATATAAACGATCTGTTGCCTGACTCTTGTCTTCTGTCGTTACAAATCTACACAGACAACTCTTCAGTGTAAGCGTATATGTACGTGCGTAAGCCACAACTGGTTGGCTACAGGATGATGGTTGCCAGAAGTTCTAGCGGGAAAAGTCATAACCAAGTAGGATTTACTGAATTACGGCAGTGAAAACGAATATGCTCGCTGGTGATATTGACTGGTGTAGTAGCGCTTTGCACATCACCGGTTGGCAGAAGGTAGGATCTATGAGTCATCCCAGTGGCTTTCTTTGTAACTAGAAGGTATCGAGGGTTCGACTCCTAGCGCGGGGGTATACTGATGAAGAGCCTTAAGTCCTAGTGTGGTGAGTGCTCGCTGTTAGCCAAAATTAGTGGACAGTAATTTACGTCAGTGTTTATGTCCCCAATATTGGTCGTGAGGAAAATGTGAACACAGACTTTGCGTAGACGGATATAGTTAACATAAAGATGATCTGACATTCAAGAAACAGACACAAAGAGATGCAAGGTAGGTTAACTTTCTGGGAGAAACAACCAATCAGAAGACTGTGTTTATCTGCCAATAATAATCGATAATAATGTACATAAAAAATGTATAAATATGTGTCGATTTCCTTAACAAACGATCTGTTGACTGGCCCTTGTCTCCTGTTGTTACACTAGAACGAAAGAGATGTCCAGTTCAGTTATCACTTTCTAGCTTTCAATGGTTTTGTAACTGTGAAACCAGTTTGAGATCAATCATGAAATAATAATAATAATAAATGACTATTACATACACATCATAATCTGAACCACTTACCATGAAGTAAACGATGTAATACTTCTTTAACAACTTTCTCATTCAGCTGTACTAATTTTGGTAAAGCGGCAATAACTTGTTGTTTAGTTAAACCAACGATAACAGGAATAAGACACCGGACATCGTGTATTCTTTCTTCATACAGACTATAGACACGACTGACTAGAGATGGTGGTGGTACAATAACACCTGCTGGTCCAACAACCATGGATGTTGTTGTTGCTGATAAGGATGTTTGAGCAGCGGCAGGTGGAGGACTTTGAGGTAAAGCGTGTGTTTTAGCAGCAGCAGTGACAGATGATGAATTTGTGGTAGTGTGTGAGCTGCTATTGGCTGCTAGATGACTGGCTGAAACAGCTGATGGGGAATCCGTCAAAATGTGTATCATACGTGTGATAAGCGTTTCAGCACCAGTTGGACACTCGTCGACTAGATTTTGTAAGTCAACTGAATAGATACCAATATCTCGGATCTAGAAAAGGAGGAAAACATATGAGAATAAAAAAAGCAGGAAATCATGCTTTAACTAACTGAGTGTTAATCACAATAAATACTAAGAAAATGACATGAACGTTATCAACATGATGTGATGGTGCGTAGGGCTTCCGTAGAGACACACTTCCATTACACTGACTGAGATGGTTAGGACAAGTGTTACACACGCATCTCTAGTCATCGCCTTAGTTGACCGACAAACAGTGTTAGCTGACATAGGGTCAGGCTGGAAAAGAGCCAGTGATGGTCAAGCCGAAACACGGCTTCATCAGTCAGTGAAATCTACAGCAGTTAGTTTAAGTCAGTCAGCCATGTAGGGAGGTGTAGACTGGCTTCCTGGTGGGAGTCTTCAGGATGGTGGGAGAAACCAATGGCGGCTGGAGACAATTGGTGGTGGTATTCTTATTATTGTTCCCTTGGGTTTCTAGTGGGACATAGGGCATCAACTGCATATCTCCACTTGATTCTGTCTTCCTTCTGCTGTACTTTTCACCTGCATCCATGTTAGTCCATACTCTTTCAACCCCTCTCCCTTCACACGATCTCCTCCATGTCACCCACCCTTGCACTGACGTCCCACTAACCGCTTCCCTTTCGGCCTGGTTCCACTCGAGCAATGGTCTGACGCGCACGCGATGTCATCCAGCGGCCTGCCTCCTCAGCGAGCGAGTGTTCAATCTATCCATCTCCACTCTCTCCTGTATATTTGCTGGTTGGCGATTGGTTCTTGTTTTGTTTGTTTGTCCCCATAGTTTCTTGTCGGTAATTTTTTCTGGCCAGGCCATCTGATCTTCAGTATAGAGCCACCGAAGACAGTTGTTGTTGATAAAGGTCTGCAACAGGCTGTTGGAAATATTCTTTGTGACCCGCCCCCCGCCAAGTTTCTGATCCGTATACAAGAACTGACTTGACGTTTGTATTGAAGATCCAAATTTTGTTGAGTGACGAAGATTTCCAGATTGGTTTCAGATTGATGAATGCGCGATATGGCTGGCTCAAAATCATTCTCAATGGTTGGGGTGAGGATGTATCCACTCCTTGTGACTTATATTATCCAATAAAAGTATTTCGTTCTTCGATAATAATATTTTTTTGCCTCATATCTCAGTTTACTGTGTCTATTTTGCATTCCCTCTTACTTTCTTCTGTTGCTTTGTGTGCTGCAAGGAAGGAGTGTGGCGACTCGAAATCCTGCACATCGGTGCAAAGCTCTACGTTGAAAATATACACACACACACACATAGACTGTTCTCTTAAGTCTTATGCATTTATCTGGCTTCACGATTGCCGACACAAGCTTTAATTTCCTGCTAATGCAAATCCCTCCTCCTGCCGATCAACTTCAGTCACCAATCTCAACCCAACCCTGTCCTTTCTCCCATTCAGGTTCCCCATATATGTGATGTTATTCAATAGTCTCCTCAGAGTGTGTGTGTATGTATGCGTGTGTACAATTCACTTTCGTTTTTACTTCTACATATTTGTCGGGTAATAGGGGTTGTAAGCTGATTAATTGCCAGATTTTCTGTGGTGCTTATCATTTCTAGCCACCTTATCTTCCATATGGAAGTAGCGAAGGAAGCTGTTGACTGACTGACTGACTGACTGGTTTCAACATAAAACTCTGCACAGAAGTGTACAAGTTTGAGTCGCCACACTCCCTCTTCCTTGTAGCACACAAAGGAAGAAGACAAACGAGAGAAGAAAGAAATTCGGAAAGACAATAAAAAGTAGAAATGTGATGGAGAAACAATAGTAATATAGAAAAACAAAAAGGTTTTTCTATCGGATGTAGGTGATCACAGAGAGTGAATGCATCTCGGCCAGTGCGAACAATCTTGAGTCATATCAGCAAATTTTCTCTAGCCACCATTGGTTTTTACCACCATCCCGAGGACTGCAACCAGCCTCCAAGAAGTCTACATCTTCCTACGTGACTGGCTGGCTTGAATTAAATGTTGTGGAGTTCATTGACTGATGAAGCCGTGTTTTAGTTCGACCACCACCACTGGCAATTTTCCAACTTGAGCGGTCCTACGTCAGCTAACATTGCCGTCGAGAAAGGTAATCGATGGCTAAGCATGCATGCATAACACATGTCCTAACCATCTCAATAGGTCTAGCTTCACAATTGTATATCGATTGACTTTCCCTCCTTACTTATCACTCCACCGACGCCTAACCTCAATATTACTCATTGTAGTATACCACATAACACGGGAGATAGAACGTAGATACCTATGATCAGACAGACAGCTAGCCAGTCGGACTTTCCACGTCTTCGACTTTCAATGATCACATGTCTCATTCACAGTTATATAAAAGAGGATAGAGTGAACTACTGCTGTGCTGCACACACGTTCGATTCAGCACACTTAGGTAAAGCACACATAAAAAAAGACTTAACCCCTTGAATAACATTCAAAATTGAAAACAACAACAACACAAAGTAACAAATCCAACTAACTGGAGAATCCACCATTCTTAGTAGACATCGTTTAATATTCGGACTAGCCTGAGTATAGACTTCAGCTAACCTGTTGAGAGAAAAAAAATGAACAACGATGAGGAAGCGAAATTAACAATTATTCAATAGTATCATTAATAATAATAATAATAATAATAATAATAATAATAATAATCATCGAAAGACACTAAAAGTATACAAACACATAAAACTGACATCACTTAAAGAACGCCATTGACAAAGCCATCAAAAAGTACTAGGCAACTGTTTCATCTAGTACTCAAGACTCTTCAGCGGCATACACCCGCCGGAGTTCGAACCCAGGGCTTTCCAGTTACAAGCCGAGCTTGTAGACCACCATTTATCTAATAAGACCTTATCCAGTGGTTCACGAATTCCAACTTCTGACAATCTTTGATAAACATATATCGCACAGAAGACGGAATTCCTGGACCATTCCATTGGGTCCCAGTGGTTGAATACTGCTAAAGATCCTCAAGCACTAGGATGTAACAGTTATCCAATACCCTCTGGTGTTGGTTATTCAATGGTTCCCTCGACTCATGAAGAAACCTGTAATCAATGTAAGTTAATCAGTCACTAGTTTATTTCATGGGTTGATGGGTTCAAGGGGAGGTCTCCCTGAAAAACCAGTTGGAGGTAAAGCTAGCAATCTGACCGTGTTAAAAATAATCACACCTCTACCTCCCTACAAAGCCACCAAAATTTGAAAGCATAGCAAAATAAACCTACTTTTCACTAGTCGATTGATTGGACCGAAGTACTCCGTCTCAGGTTGACATGTCCGCTTTTTGAGTCGATGCTTTGACGATGTCTGAGCATTTATTTAGCACTTACTTAGTGGATGGTGACTAGCAGTGGAATCCACTAGGATGAGCATTTCGGCTGTCCTATTTGGGACTCGCCAGCCAACTGGATGTACCTGAATCTTTCACTGAGTGATGATGTTCCCACCAAGACTCGAACCCAGTGTCCATAGTTTCGAACATCATCACTCGCTGAGAAATGCAGGTACATCCAGCTGACGAGTCCCAAGTTGGACAGCCGAAATGCGCATCCTGGATTCCACTGCTAGTCACCATCTACCAATTAAATATTCTTAACTAGAATGTGAAAAACTCCTCAATATGAGAACGGATGACATCAGAGATTTAAAATGCTTTGGAAGCGAGTCAGCCTATGACACTACTTCCAATGAAACCAAATAATGTATGGGGATATGCAGTCTCCCTACCATACCATGTATGAGGCTCGTAGGGCTGTTCACAACTTACAGAAAAAAGGGAAGAGGCATAGCATAGGAGTGTGAGACGTTCATTTCCACCTTTGTTGACACTTGTCACAGTAAGATGTGTATCTTTCAAATCCTGAAACAACACTGATGTCCCCCCATTTGGGATTCAAACCCCACGTTGAACTCATCAAAAAAAAAATAGCGCGAATGTGATCAAATCAAAGTTGGATCAACGAAAATAAGTAATGATTAAAAGAAAACATTATAAAAATAGAAATAAAACATACTTATGCATAAGTGATGGACTTTGTGGCATCAAACCAAGAAATAAATGTGCACACGCTTGACATGCTTCATCTGTCCATGTTGAGGGTATTGAAGCATGATTAAGAAATGGAAAGATATCTGGAGTTGGACGTGGTTGTAACAATTTTTTAAGCATTTGTACAGCAAACATCTAAGAAATAAAAAAAAAGAATATTTGATCGACTCAAAGATTGAGCAGATAAAGAAAGAAGCCTTTGAAACCAAGGGAGACTAGTATACTGGACAACCAATTTCTGGCTTCACCACCACGAGATGTCATAGCTGAGACCTTCAAGTTACAAGGTAAAACTCGTTTTTTTTGTTTTGTTTTATCTAATACTCCACTAGTAACTGCCCCAGAATGCAATCTCATGAAGTTCTAGTGAGACTTCTTGACTAGTAGGGTCCACCAAATTAAGTGGACGGTTGCAGATCGCACTGTATATTTGCAAACTGGAAAATGTTAGAATCCAAAGACCATTGGACTCCAACCTAGTGGTTGGATGGTTAACGAGTTCGCCTTATAACTTGGAAGTTTTTAGTTTAATATCACGTGGCGTCATATATATGCGTACTGTTGAAGAGTGCCAGAAAGGACGAAACAGTTGTCTAGTACTCCTGGTTTCCAATGGTTCTCTAACTGAACCTTAGGTTGTGATCAAAATATAAAAGAATATCATATTATGTTTACGAGTATAATTTAAACAAATTCTGTAAGGGAATCAAATAACAACAAAAGTTGCGGAGTAAATCTATCTGAATGGAGACATCAAAGTACGAATACGAATCTTTTTTATTCCTTTACGTTCCCAGTGGTACATAGGGTTCATCAGTCTAGGTATTCGACATTCATCCAGTGGGTGGCGAATTTGAACCCGAATCAGTGTTCAGGTAGAATCATAATTCAGATAAATCATAACAGGTTGGAACCTCGCTATTTACGTCAATGCTACGCATTGCGGCTTATTGAATTGGGGATCACCGGTCCAACCACGTACCTGGTCCGAGTTCGACTCCCGACCGACACATTCTTAAAGCTAGCCTAGCTGCTCACTAGAACATAATAGGCCTTAAAAAAGAGTGAATATTGCGCGAGAGATGCTAGCTAGCCTCCCCCCTGTGTAAAAACAACACTACCGTGACTGAAACTTGAAAACCTGGAGCTCTACGTCTTACACAAAATACAACGGAGCATGGCGGGATGAACTAACAACGGATAGATGGATGCATGCCAAAGACATTTAAACCCTGTTCTACATTATCAAGTTTTGATGACTTAACTAAGCGCAGCATCACGGCTTTCTCTATTAATGTACACCTCATGGATCGAAAACCACACTATATGCCAACCACGGCGCAATAAGGGTAGTTTCATTAGCTGAAATTTAGTCGGGAGTAACTGATTTTAGCTGAATGATAACTTTAATTGAATTTTTGATTTTCCCGTCGATTGATTGAACCCAAGTGTTCGGTCTAGGGTAGACATGTCGGCATTTTTGGCGTTTGAAACTATGGGCACTGGGTTCGAACCTCGGTGGGAACATCACTGCTCACTGAGAAATGCAGGTACATCCAGTTGGCTGACGAGTCCCAAATAGGACAGTCGAACTGCGCACCCTGGATTCGACTGCTAGTCACCATCCACCAATTAAATACTAATCGATCACTTGCCTAACAACAGATGGCATAAATTACCTGTCTAAAAAGTAGCATAATAATGAACCTATGAAAAAAACACATACTCACCTCTATATGTTCTTGCCAACGAGAATCAGAGTTAGCCAATTCTCTTGTAGCTGTCAGTGCTGCTTTACGTACTTCCAGTCCATCAACAGAACAAAAATGTAGTAACATATTAAGCATATCTTCTCTTTGAGCGATTGAACGTGTTTCAATGAGTGTACGTAGAACCTAACACACACATACACACACAAACATGATAAAAACAAAAAAATTGATCATACGTAAGGGGGGAAGTTCAGTGAGAAGTTATGACGACTCGGTCTTCAGTGAGGATAAATACCCACCATGGATGACATTGGCTGGTGGTTGCGCTAAAATCACGGGCCACTGAGTCGACTATTGACACAAGTATAAAACTTGGGCAGTGTGTTGGTGGAGTATAACTCCATCCATTATGGATAAGATTTTATTTCGATAAAATCACACAGTGTTGTTACACAGTAATATTAACTGATGACCACGTTTCGAGTACAAATTATTGTCAGATATGCCCCTTATGACTTAAAAGTCTTGAGTTTAACTTAGCTTCCGATATCATGAAACGAAGTGTATCATAGTCCCTGAAAAGTGCACAAATTATTGTTCATAAACAAATCAAGTTACTCACACAACTATTTCCTTCATTTATAATACATGTATGGAATCGATTAGATATTGGAATAAAAGTTAATATAGGATAATGTACATTCAGAATTATTAATATGAGTCTTATTGATCAATTACAATCAGATGGGAAATAAGACGAGTGTTTTATAGTCATAAGAAGCAACTTGTTAGAATGTTGTGATGTGTTTGAATTGAAATAGAATTTTAAGATTATTTATTATCCTCTTCTGATTTGACTGACCGGCGGTAATATCATCTTCCATATGTGTGGTATTTGCATTGAGTCATTCCTGTTGCATGTGTTGCTAGCTGATATAGGTGGTGCAGGCTGGAAAAGAGCCAGTGGTGGCCAAACAAAAACATGGCATCAATCAATCCATGAAATCCTTGACAGTTAAACTGAGTCAGGTAGGGAGGGGGGTGCAGACTTCCGGGTTGGGGCCCTCGGGACTCCAACAATCAATGGCTGGAGACAATAGGTGACATGGCTCAAAATCGTTGTCAATGACCAGCGAAGATGTATTCAGTCTCTGTAATCTTTCATATTCCTTTCTACCATTACCCATTCTGTTTCACTCTTATACCTGTCAAACTGTATTGATTCTCTTCACTCATCTTCTTGTGTACCTTTGTGTGGTATTTGGAACGTGGCAGCTCGAACTGGTGCACTTCGGTGCCAAGTTCTATGTTGAATCCAGACAGACAGAGTCGCATGTGTTGGGTGTAGACTCAATGAACCAGCATTCAGCAATCATTCTCTCTCTCTCTCTCAACCTACATAGATGGCTTCTTAGAATCTTAACCCTCTCCCACCCTATTGTGTGTTAATGCGTGTAATGCAATTGAGGAGCTTTTCTCTAAATTACTTATCTTCTCGGGATCAACCATTCCTACTTTAGCTAGATTCTTATGCTCCGACAATCTGACTACCCCTGCCTGATCTACTACTAGTTTGACTGACCTATGTAGTTGACTAAACTAACTCACAGTCATTGCAAGGTATTTTGTAAATTATATTATTTTGTTTAATTGGGTCAACCTATAGGGTCCTTTAACCTACAGAGCTTGTCCTACATGAGTGAATTTGTAGGTTTGAATGACACCCTAATTCCTACTTTATTAAGAATCCTACACGTGGGGTCTCAGATGTCTCCCCTCATTATATGGTATAACTGTAGATGACTTATATTCTCTCTTATTTAAGGTATCTTATTACTGAGTCGACTCCCAGTAACTGAATGGTCTACGGGCTAACTTACCTTGTATAACTGGAAGCATCTGGGTTCCAAACCCAGTTGATGTGTACCACTACCGATGATGCAGTAGGACGAAACAAACAACTGTTCAGTACCCCCCAGTAGTGGTTTTCAACATTCCTCTCTTAACTGATATCAATCCGTGATTAAACTTGACAAACGATTGCAGAAGGCTACCATCAGAGCCAAAAGACAGAACGGTTAACCGAGTTATCCACTCTCTCATTGAAATTATCACATGAATCCCTATGTGAAGGAATGATTCGTTACTTATCCCCCAATCATAACACTGGCACACCACACGTGAGGCATTGCTGATTGTAATCAACAACTACCTTCGCTGGCTCCATACTGAAGATCAGATGGTCAACCAGGAGGAACGATCATCAACGATAAACTCTTAGGATGAACCAGCCAACAGCCTACTGTTTAACAAATACGTAGAAGAAAATGGAGACAGATAGGACACACGCTGAGGCGACCATCGAATGACATCGCGACCCAAGCTATAGCTCGAATGGAACCCGAAAGGGGAAACAATGAGTGGATTGTGTGTCCGATAGTGACATGGTAGAGAGATCATGTAAAGAAGAGATAAGAAACTATGGCTTATAGTGGAGACAAAGGAGAGTAGGTGAAAGTGGAGATGTCCTGTTGAAGCTTCATATTCCACTCGGAACCGCGGGGGATAATAATAATAATAAGAACAGTCCAGTTGGATCTTTTCTACGTTTCAATCATATCAAAACAGTTGGGGAGAGGGGGGAGAATCAGAGCTGTTAACTGGTGGTAAGACTACCTAAGAGATAGCCAATCGGTTAACAGACTGTTATTGATCTGGTGAGTAATGATTACAAGTGGAATGAAAAATCTCGATCACAACGGGACTCCAAACTACAGGCCATCGAATTACTCTACACCAGAATAGTGAAATAAAAAATCTACTTAGTAGTTGGTAGATCAGCTGGGAAAATGTCAACTCTAGACTATGTCAGATATTTTCACTGAAGAAATGGGTACTGTATCTACCAAAATCAGTAATATATACATGATAGCAAACGATTGGAAAGTGACTGGCTGGCTGATTTCAACACAGAACTAATTTGCACGGATGTGCAGCAGTTCCAGTCGCCACACTTCACTCAACACAAAACAAGAGAAGAAAGCAAGAAAAAAACTCAAAATAGATAGAGTAAACAGAGATATGAAGCAGAAAGAATAGTAATATCGAAGGACAATAAAGCTGTATTGCGTATTACAAATCACAAGGAGTGGATGCACCTACACCAACCATCGAGAACGATTTTGAGACATATTACCAACTGTCTCCAGCCTTCATTGGTTCCTACCATCCCGAGGACCCCAAACAGCCAAGAAGTCTACACCTTCCTACGTGGCTGGCTGAAACTAACTGTCAAAGATTTCAGTGACTGATGAAGCCGTGCTTGGGTTTGAACACCACTGGCTTTTTTCCAATCTGACCTACCCTATGTCAGTCAAATAACATTGCCCGTCGGTTGAGGAAGACGATGGCTAGTCATGCATGTGCAACACGTGTCCTAACCATCTCAATACATGCAGTTGCTTCACAACCTCATCTATTGATTTCCCCTCCCTCCTTACCTAGCACTCAACCGATGCCTAACCTCAATATATCTCACCCTATTATACCACTTCACACAGGAGATAGAACACAAGCAATTATGATTAAAGACAAACAGCTAACCTTCTCTTAACGTCTTCTACTCTCAAAGGGCAGGTCTCACTCACAGCTATAAAGGGGGATGGAGTGGAGTGCTGAGCAATATACACGCCATTTGATCGATAGCCAGCAGGATATCACGTCTACTAAGACAGAAACGACGTAAACTAGCATATACAGAACGAGCCCTCGGTATACATGCTGGGATTTCTTCAGAGATCAACCCGTTGGCACTGGCTGATGCAACTTCCGAAATAAGTGAAGCGGTCAACGTGCTCTATCACTTCACTTCCTATTTATAAGCTAGGAGTCAGTGTGGTCCAGTCCTGTAACAACTAATTCCCAACTAAGTAGTCTGTACCTCTCTACATCACTCAAACTAACTGTCAAGGATCTTGTGGACTGATACCAGTAGCTCTTTTACAATCTCATCCTATCTGTATCAGCTAACATTGCCCGTCGAAAAAAAGGCGATCGACAGTTGGGCATGCTTAACACATTTCCTAACCATTTCACTCAATCGATGTGACTTCACAACCTTTTATACCGCTTAACACATAGGAGATAGAACGCAGACACCTATGATGAAAGACAGCTGGCATCTTCACGTCTCCTAATTCCACCAATGTCAATGTCTCGCAATCACAGAGAAGGACAGAGCAAACACATGTCCCTTAATCGACAGTCAGATATTGTGTCTACACCACAGATAACATCAGCTGGCATCATATGTCATGCCACATGAGCCATTTGTATCCACGCTGAGATTTCGTCAGCGTGCTGTGTCTATCAAGGCTGTGTAGTCTCTGTTAGAGTATTTGCGTATTTTTTCAGCGCATCAACTAAACACACTTACAAACAAAAATATGACATAAAAGTCACAAGACAACTAACTAACTAACCTCAAAGCCATAAGTTGCTTGTTCCGGTAATGAACAATACCGTTTTAATTCATTGATTGCTCCAGGGGTTATTAAAGGTGCTTCAATTAGAAATCTACCAAAATAGCTATAAACAAATACGAAATAAGGAAAACAAAACAAATTAACATACTGTTATGCAAGAGTGAATACAACAAATAATATCACAGCAAAAACGGAATGATGATGCTAAGAATCAATTAACAAGTGGAGATGACTTTTATCTGATGGATGCTGACTACCAGTGGAATCCAAGAATGTGCATTTCGTCCTACTCAGGGCCCCGTCAACTGGATATCCTTACATTCTCAATGATTATTTGGTGTTCCTGCTGAGACTTGAACACAAGACCCAACCAAATATCCATCGTTTCAAACGTCGAAGCCATATTTATTGGACCAATTAGACAAAAAGAGTTTTTAGGTTTCTTTTTCGATTGATTGGTACTCACAGCTGCAGAAAGAAGTTAATGACCGTATAAGGAGTGCAATAATCGAACATTTCGTCATCATTGGTCATTCCATCTCAACAAACGCCTGTCTTTCCCCTTCAAAGTAATCTACAAAGCGAAGAACAACCTGCCTGTCAAAACAATACCTTTCCATCTTCTTTGCATTGTACAAGCCCTAGCCATTCAGTTAGGCCAATCAGAACTATACACACAAAAGGAAAACATTCAACCACTTTTGTATTTTTCTCTAAACTGAATAATTTAATTGAGGAAGTTTCACTGCCTTTCTAGAAAGCATCTTTATTAGTGTACTAACTTCACTCTATTTGAAGTTAGATAACACCAAAATTAGTGATTCAGCGAAAAGACTCTTTACGAACATTCCACTGACAGAAACCATTTTTTATACACAAATATATTGAAAACAACAAGTTGAATAAAAGGATATCCACTACAGATCTGAAAGAACTACTTTTGAGATGTACATTGTGAATGTCTGTCTGTCTGTTTTCGACATAGAACTTTGCACCAATGTGCACCAGTTCAAGTCGCCACACTCCCTCCTTGTAGCACACAAAGCAAGAGAACAAAGTAGAAGAAATGCATAATAGAGACAGTAAACAGAGGTGTGAGACAAAGGAATAGTAATAACGAAGAACAAAACAGTTTCATTGCATATCATAAGTCACAAGGAGAGGGTGCATCTCCGCCGGCCATCGAGAACGATTTTTAGCCATGTCACCAATTGTTTCCAACCATTGGTTTTTACGGTCCCGAGGACTCCAACCAGTCAGAAAGTCTACACATTCTTACGTGGCTGTCTGGCTTAAACTAACTGTTGTGAATCGCATTGATTGATGAAGCCGTGTTTTGGTTTGACCCCCACTAGTTCTTTTCCAGCCGGACCCTATATCCGCTAACATTGCTCGTCGAGGAAGGCGATGACCAAGCATACGTAACACATGTCCTAACAATCTCAGTCTTTGTATTTTCACAACTTCGTCGATTGATTTCCCCTGTTTACCTAGAACTCGATGCCAAACCTCAATATTGCTCACCCTACTATACCACTTCACACGGGAGATAGGACGCACGCACCTATGATCAAAGACAGCTAGTCGGCCTTTTCATGTCATCCACTCTCAGTGGCCATGTCTCACTCACAGCCATGAATGAGGACGGAGCGGATTGATGGGCAGTACACCCGCCCTTTGGTTGATAGTCGAACGTCTCGTCTACGCCAGAGTCGGCGTAAACTAACAAATGCGAAACGAGCCCCCTGTATCCGTGCTGAGATTTCGTCAGAGATCGACCCGTTGGGGATGGCTGATGGTACTTCCCAAATAAGTGAAGCGGTCAACATGCTCTACCATTTCACTTCCTATTTTTAAACTAGGCGTCGATGTAGTCCAGTCCTGTAACATCATCTTTCATTTGACAAAGGGACCGAATCGCATGCCAAACATCCGTAGATTGCGGCTCAAGGTGTTTAGAAGACTCTGCTTTTGTCAGAATCGTCGCATTGAGAATGTACAGTTTACTTTCAGTGAAACAATCTACAGGCAGAGAGATAATTTTTTGTAATGGGTTCTCCCTTTGGTTCTCCTCCATTATGGCCAGTCTAGAAAATGGTCAGTTAAAGTAAACAATCCAAAGCTTTCAAATGTATAAAAAGTATGTGTAGATGATACCTTTATTATTTGTAATAGTGATTGTAAGTTGAATAATAATATTAAATGTATTTAATGGTTGCCATCCAGCGATAAAATTGAACATTAAAAAAAGTAATAGATAAAGGATTATACACATTAGGTCATAGGAGTTATTAAGAAGACAGTTGCAGTGAAGAAAATTTTCTTTTCGACGAAGTCATCATCTAGGCTCTATATTCGTGTATTTATATCAAATAGATGTGAAAGTTCCGGAATATTTTCTGGTTAAGGGTCAAATTAATAAAAATTAAAATTAGGAATTAAAATGCCATAATAAACAGGGCGGTGGGACGGATAAGTATAAAGTCGATGAAGAGACATGAGACTGAATCCGACGGAACGTTCCACTTCCTCGACGTCCATTTGACAAGGAACGCCAACAACCCTCTGAAAAGGTTCATATACAAAAAGCCTTCATGGAATGGATAATTCATCAACTTTCAAAGCTTCGTGTCCCTGAGCAGAAAGAGGAACCTGATATTTGCCCTTTCCTCGAGGATTCGGAAGATATGCGGCGAGGAAGTGGTTGAAGAAGAACTGTGTAATCTCCGAAAAACCCTGATGGGAAACGGTTTCCCGCCCAGGTTCATAGACAAAAATCTCAAATCTAAGAAGACTTCTGAACAAGTTCAATCCGTTCCAACGAAAACACTTCTGCTTAATCTAGAATTCAAAGGTGACATTGAAGCAGAAATCCTCCACAAACGCCTCTCCAAATCGATGAGGAAAACATACTTCGCCGCGAGCCTACGACTGACGTTTTCCTGCAAGAAACTGTTCAGTCAGAACGGGAAAGACAAGGTGTCGCACTGGGCCATCTCAACTTGCATATACCAGTTTACTTGCTTTTGTGGAGCTGAGTACATCGACCGTACCATGCGCCGACTTGAAAAACGCGCTCGTAAACACTACCCAGCCTGGTTAGTAAAAGGAGACCAAAAGCGTGTATACAGTTCAGTGACAGAACATCTGGTCAACTCAGGACATTCAACGCCTTTCGAAAAATCCTTTAAAGTAATATACAAGATTCAACCAAACCTATCAAAAGGGAGTGAAATCAAGACATCTGGGTATAGCTGAGGCTCTAGCTATCCAAAAGCTCAAACCCACCCTTTGTATACAAAAGAAATACGTCCAACCTCTGTCCCTGTCATGGCCATCATAAACAGGCAAATTATGTTTTTTTTTAGTAATGACCATCTCATCGCCTTTCTTATCTAAACTTCCTGTTTATTCATGTTATTTTCAAGTTTTTCTTAATCCCTATTTACACCATCATATTTTCATATCCGAACTCCGTGTTTATTTTGTTATTTTACTATTTCTACATATTTAATCCCTGATTGCACAATGTCAATCTTCTTAGTAATTACGATGCTACTTTGTTTGAGTTTTATCCGTCCCACCGCCCTGTTTATTATGGCATTCTAATTCCTAATTGAAATTTTTATTAATTTGACTCTTACCGGAAATTATTCTTGAACCGTCCCATCCACTTGATATAAATACACGAATGTACAGCCTAGATGATGACTTCGTCGAAAAGAAAATTTTCTTCACTGCAACTGTCTTCTTAATAACTCATATAAAGAATTAAGAACAACAAATAAAATCATATTGATAAACTGTAACTTACTGTTGACGTATTTCTGGATTGGATAATTTCTGCAGAATTGTAATCAACAAACAATCATAAAATGATAGACAACCTAAGTCATCCGGAGGAGCTATCGGTGTCTTCAGAATACTTAATTTATCCTTACTAGACGGTTTCAAATCTTCTGAAACCTCCTTCTTTGATCTTTTCGACTGTCTTCGAGAAGTATCTTTCACAGAGGAAGAAGAAGAAGAAGAGTTCGATAACGATGATTTTGTCTCTTCATCCGCATCTGCTGTGTTCGCCGCCGCCACAACAGTATCGTCTTTATCGTTCTTCTCTTCTCCGATAGGTTCATCATTATCACCAGCGTCATCTGTGCATTTTGGTTTCATTGAGTTGTCATCTGAGATTTTCCTCTTCCTATTATTATTATTATTATTATTGTCATTACGCTTTTTCTGGTGCTTTCCACCTTCATCATGAGAGATTTCATCTGTAGACATATCCCCCCCTTCGACAGTCTTCTCATGATTATCACTACTAGCGTCTGTGTTGGCAGCGTCGTCGTTTGTATCTGACAACAGGCTTTTGTCATTGTCATCGGTTTTGGATAATTTCTCACATGAATTATGATTATCACTATTATTACAACCATTTTCTGTAGATGATTCCAACCGTTTACGTATTTGTTCTCTTAACACAGATAACTGATGTCGACGTGAATCCATAAATGCACTAAAACCAGCTAACTGGAAACCACGGTAACGACAATACTCTTGCATAAGTAATCTTGATAATAATTCGAAACCATAGCGAAGATTTTTGATAGCATGATCAATTAGTACTAGAGTTAATTATAAAATAATAAAAATTAAGAAATATCGGCAGTTAGAAAGGGAGAGAGAGAATCATTTGTGTAAACGAATATTTATACATAACTTTCAAAAAAAAAACCTCTTACGTAGTGAGACACAAACCCGGGGATGTAAGTCCTACTTATAGTGCAAAAAATGATGATACTACACACACACACACACACACCAAGGCTGAAGTCGACAGTGCAGGACACGAACCCGGAACCTATGGGTTGAAAGTTAAGTAATCGCCGTCTCTGGCGTAGACAAGATATTCGACTATCGACCAAAGGGCGGGTGTACTGCTCATCAGTCCGCTCCGTCCTCATTCATGGCTGTGAGTGAGACATGGCCACTGAGAGTGGAAGACATGAAAAGATTAGCTGTCTTTGACCATAGGTGCGTGCGTTCCATCTCCCGTGTGAAGTGACATAATACGGTAAGCAATATTGAGGTTGTGATATGTATCCACATATATATATTTATGTGTGTGTGTGCATGTTGGTCTCTCTTTCTGTTTGCTCGGTTAGTCTGTGACCACTTCACTTGTATGGACTTGTCTCCTTTAATAATGTGTATTCTCCTTATATTATATTATATATAATATGAGTGTTTGTTGACAGTCCGTTGCTTGGTGACATATATCCATATATGTTTGTTGGCATGTCTGCTATATTCGCTATGTATAATTGGATCGACACTCCATTATAATTAGCCATTCATGTTAAGACTGTCTAATGATTTTTCCCACGCTTGTCTGAATTATTTATATATATTCGCATTCACAATTTGTGTGAACTACTTTACTTTACAACTACTTTACTTACTTACCACTTTGGTGTGAGACCATTTATTTTCGTCTCCTTGTGTTTGGACAATAGAAGTATCATCGCAAACCTAGTGGTCTTCTGATTTCCGCCTTCTCGCGTCAGGACTATTAGTTTCTCGACCAGTCCATAACAATAATTTAGCGACGAGTACATAACAATTTGGCGACGGGGGAAACTAGTACATAACAATTTGGCGACGGGGAAAAACTACTATTAACCACACAGCAGCAACAACATAACAATTTACTATGGATCCTATTAAATTGGAATTATTGTTTGAACGACAAATGAAATTAATGGAAATGTTCGTCAACCAACAGACTGGTCCAGCTCCACCTTCAAGCAATCCCAATCATACCATGCTACCATCTGTCGACGGAATTGTGAACAGCATTTCACAGTTCAATTATGACCCAGAGGCTAATGTCACTTTTGACACATGGTATCAACGTTATGAGGATTTATTCACTGTTGATCTCGCCTCACAAGACGATGCCTGGAAGGTGCGAGTTTTGCTACGTAAATTGGGTCCGGCAGAATATGAACGGTACTGCAACCTAATTTTACCACAGAAACCACGTGACAATTGTTTCGATGATACAATAAAGTTGCTGCGTGAACATTTCGGAGACCACTCCTCATTATTCAGTATACGTTATCGTTGCCTCAAGCTGGCAATGAATGAAAATGATGATTTTCTTACTCACGTTGGCACAGTCAACCGAGAATGTGAGAGATTTCGACTCAGGTCCTTAACAGATGATCAGTTCAAAGCCTTGATTCTCATATGCAGTCTCCAATCTCCTCGTTTCACAGATATCCGAACTCGACTGCTCAATCAGCTAGAACAAAATCCCAAGTTAACATTACATGACATAGCTGATGAATATCAACGGCTGATTAATCTGCAGAAAGACACACACTTGGTCGAATCAACACCTCCGAGAAGCTCTGATATTCGTGCATTACGCAAGAGCAAAAATCTCTCATCAGCTACTCCTGACCCACCTACTTCTCCTAATGTCCCGCGGAAATCTACACATACTCGTCCAACTTCACAAAATACTGCAAAGAAGACCCCTCCATCACCATGCTGGCATTGTGGCGCGTGGCACTTTGTAAAGTCTTGCCCATACAAAAATCATCGTTGCAGCAAGTAAAATCATCGGTCATAAAAATGGTTTTTGTCAGCCACGCAAACCCAGATATCAAAATCCAGCAAAAGCTCAACAAAATGTCGGTCCTAAATCTCCAAAAAGATCATTGAGTCTACGTGCAACCTGTCAAGTCACAACACCAGCTATGCGGAAATATATTGACCTTCAGATGAATGGTCATGATACTCGTCTGCAGCTAGATACTGCCTCTGATATTACTGTTATATCAGAGAAACTTTGGAATTATATTGGCAGACCACCTATCACCAATACTTCCCAGTCTCTTCTCAGCGCCTGTGGTGGGCGGCTCAAACTAATTGGTGAACTCAAATGTTCTGTTTCCTTCCGCAATACCAAATTCACAGGAATTTGTTACGTCACGAAGAATGATTTAAATGTTTTGGGACTTGATTGGTTCGATCGTTTGCATCTGGCTGATGTCCCACTAAATTCTCTACGCAATACAGTGAAGAAGCATAAAATGCTAGACAATTCCGGACGGAGCCGAAGCCGCAAACCCAACAATCAGACGAAACGACAGGCGTCAACAACAAGCCCAAAGGTCCCAGATAAACCCCCAGGTAAACATCCTACTAATCATCCATCTTCTCAAAAGGGGAGGTGATATGTATCCACATATATATATTTATGTGTGTGTGTGCATGTTGGTCTCTCTTTCTGTTTGCTCGGTTAGTCTGTGACCACTTCACTTGTATGGACTTGTCTCCTTTAATAATGTGTATTCTCCTTATATTATATTATATATAATATGAGTGTTTGTTGACAGTCCGTTGCTTGGTGACATATATCCATATATGTTTGTTGGCATGTCTGCTATATTCGCTATGTATAATTGGATCGACACTCCATTATAATTAGCCATTCATGTTAAGACTGTCTAATGATTTTTCCCACGCTTGTCTGAATTATTTATATATATTCGCATTCACAATTTGTGTGAACTACTTTACTTTACAACTACTTTACTTACTTACCACTTTGGTGTGAGACCATTTATTTTCGTCTCCTTGTGTTTGGACAATAGAAGTATCATCGCAAACCTAGTGGTCTTCTGATTTCCGCCTTCTCGCGTCAGGACTATTAGTTTCTCGACCAGTCCATAACAATAAATTAGCGACGAGTACATAACAATTTGGCGACGGGGAAAACTAGAACATAACAGGTTGGGCATCGAGTTCTAGGTAAACAGGGGAAGTCAATCGGCGAAGTTGTGAAGTTACAAAGACTGAGATGGTTAGGATATGTATTACGCATGCAGGCCTAGTCATCGCCTTCCTCGACGAGCAATGTTAGTTGACATAGGATGGGTCAGGCTGGAAAAGAGCTAGCGGCGGTCAAACCAAAACATGGAACCAGTCAATGAAATCTACAACAGTTAGTCTAAGCCACGTAGGGAGGCGTAGGCATCCCGGCTGGTTGGGGTCCTCGGGGCGGTAAGAACCAATGGCGGCTGGAGACAATTGGGGATATGACTAAAAATCGTTCTCAATAGCCGGCGGAGATGCATCCACTCCTTGTGACTTATAATACCCAATGAAACTGTTTTTTTCTTCGTTATTACTATTCCTTTGTCTTACACCTCTGTTTACTGTCTCTATTATGCGTTTCTTCTACTTTGTTCTCTTGCTTTGTGTGCTACAAGGAGGGAGTGTAGCGACTTGAACTGGTGCACATATGTGCAAAGTTCTATGTCGAAAACAGACGGACAGACAGACTTCAAGTAATGAGCTATTATTATTATTATTGTTTCTTTTAGTTCCCAGAGAAACATAGGGCTTCAACCGCACGTCTCCATTGCGTTCCCCTATCTGCCAGCGTTTTCACCTGGCCCCACGTCTGCTCACATGCTTTTATCTCCTATCATAACATCACCACCACCACATTGTCACCGTCGCACTGACGACCAACTCGCCGCTTCTCATTCTGTGGTAGAGTATAACTCCATTATGGATAAGATTTTATTTAGTCACACAATGTTACACGGTAATATTAAGTAATGACCACGTTTTTTGAGCATAAATTATTGCTCATAATCATATCAAGTTACTACTCAAACAACTTTTTCCTTCATTCATATACATGTGTGGAATTGACCAGATATTGGAATAAAAATCAATTACAATCACAAGGGAAATAAGACGAGTGTTTTATAGTCATAAGAAGCAACTTGTTAGAATGTTGTGATGTGTTTGAATTGAAATAGAATTTTAAGATTATTTATTATCCTCTTTCGATTTGACTGACCGGCGGTAATAATATCTTACATATTTCTCGTATTTGCATTGACTCATTTCTGTTGCATGTGTTGGGTGTAGACTCAATGAACCAGCATTCTGCAATCATTCTCTCTCCATCTCCACCTACATAGATGACTTCTGAGAATCTGAACCCTCTCCTACCCACCCTATTGTGTGTGATAATGCATGTAGTGCAATGGCTGAGCTTATTTGTAAATTACTCGTCTTCTCGAGTGGGGTCAATCATTCTTACCCTAGCCAAAATATTATGTCCCGCCAGTCTGATTACCTCCCGATCTACTAGTTTGACCTATATATAGTTGACCTCATTGACAGTCATTGAGGTTGCTTAGGCTACAGAGCTTGTCTCTGAGTGAGTTTGTAGGTTTGAATGCCACCAACCTAATTCCTGCTTTATTGAGAATCCTACGTAAGGAGAGTTTTAGATGTCCTCTCACTATACGGTAAGACAGTGGATGACTTATATTTCTTTCTTTCTTATTTATGTTATCATTATTAGTTTCACCATTATTTTTATTTTGCTTTATACCCTTTTTGATATGCTTAATGAATTTCATAGGATAGTTATTTGTTACAAACGAGCTATTCTTCTATCTGCTTCATTCCATCATTTAGGTCTTTTCTTGTGTTACTCAGTGCTATGGTTCGGTTTGTTAGACATCTAAATAAGCCTGCCTTAACAGACAACGGATGAGATGAATTAAAGTCTGAATACCTATTAGAATGATGAGTTGGTTTTCTATAAACACTAGTGTGTAGTTTGCCTTCTTCTGTTCGTTTGATTTTACAATCTAACATTATGGCTAATTCTCCTTGTTCACTTTCCGGTTCAAATGGGGATTATTAATTTAAGGTATCCCAGTATGTGAGGAAACGGCGTTCCTGAGATCTTTTAGCACAAATGATCAGTATCTGAGGAATAAAACCTACTTACTAGAGTGTTTAGTCATCCGAGTTATGCCCTAACCTAACCACCGTATGTCAGCTTTTTCAGTTCGACGAGGATAATGATGGTGGCTGCTCCTCGTTGTAGGGGTAGTAGAATTTTCCAGATCTCCAACTGGACAGGTGTTGAATCATTCCTATTACATGTATTCCCCCTCAGTTGATTCGATAAACAAAGCTTCTGTTATCAATCTCTCCCTCCATTCACCCTGTGACATTAGATTTTAAAACTGTCATCCTATCCTTTCCATCCTATTGTATGTAGTGCTATAGCTGAACTATTATCTAGATTTCTTATAGTCCAGCACTACATGCAATTACACACAACCATACAATAGGATGGATGGGAAAAGATGACAGTTTTAAAATCTAATATAACAAAAGGGTGGAGGGAGGGATGAGAAACAACGGAAGCTTTGTTTATCGAATCAACTGCAAATACATGTAATAGCAATGATCCAACTGTCTGTCTGTCTGGATTCAACATAGAACTTGGCACCGAAGTGCACCAGTTCGAGCTGCCACGTTCCAAATAGCACACAGAGGTAGACAAGAAGATGAGTGAAGAGAATCAATAGAGTTTGACAAGTATAAGAGTGAAACAGAATGAGCAATGGTAGAAAGGAATATGAAAGATTACAGAGACTGAATACATCTTCGCTGGTCATTGACAACGATTTTGAGCCATGTTACCTATTGTCTCCAGCCATTGATTGTTGGAGTCCCGAGGGCCCCAACCGGGAGTCTGCATCTCCCTACCTGACTCAGTTTAACTGTCAAGGATTTCATAGATTGATGAGGCCATGTTTTTGCTTGGCCACCACTGGCTCTTTTCCAGCCTCCACCTATATCAGCTAGCAATGCCCGTCGGGGGAGGCGGTGGTTAGGCATGCGCACCACGTGACCTAGCCATCTTAGCCTATGTAACTTTATAGCCTCGTCGATTGATTTTCCCTCTTTGCCCAACACTCTACGCCTAACGTCAACATTACTTACCTTATTAAACCACCTAACGTGAGACAGAGATCGCAAACATCTATGATCGAAAGCAGTTAACCTTTTCATGTCTTCAACGCGTATTGGCCATGTTTCAGAGCCATAGAGAAGGACGGAGCGAACTGCTGAGCAGTACACACGTCCCTTGGTTGATAGCCGGATGTCACGCCTACGCCAGAGATGGTGTAAGTCAGCGAAAGCAGCTCGAGCTTTTCGGATCCGTGCTGAGATTTCATCGCCAATCAGTCCGTTGGTGCTAATACAACTTCCCAAATAGGTGAAGTGGTCAACATGTTCTATCACTTCACTCCCTATCACTAAGTTAGGAGTTGACGTGGTCCATCCAGTCCAACACCTGCCCAACTGGATATCTAGGAAAATTCTACTACTTCAACGACGACAGATAGGAGAGTACAATGAAAACTATAAAACTCAAGTTTCGAAATCGTGTGATTATAATTGATAAAATGATTATGAACAGTAATAAATTTTGTTCGAAACTTTGTCAATCCAGTAAATAATAATAATACTGTTTCACTGACTGTGTGTGTGATATATCCATCTAATAAGCAAACTAATATGGAATTCAAGTGTTGGTTTGTAAGGCTGTGATTAGTTACAGGATTTCATTATGAGTTGACTTGCCCTATTCAGGTAGGTTCTAGTGGGGAGCCGTGACCATTAGAGGATACAGCAGGTTGAAGATGAGGCAGTAACTTATCGAAGAAGATATTGCGAAACGTTCGCGCTCTGTCGTGAATTGGCAGATGTTAGGATTCATAGACTTGCCATTGAATTGGGTCCCAGTGACTAAAATGGTATACGAGCTCGCTAGCCTTGTAACCCAGAAGGTCCTGGATTCGAGTCCCAGTGAGTGCGTACTGATGAAGAGTCCCGAATTAGGACGAAACCGCTGTCCAGTGCTCCCATTTTTTTCCAACGGTTCTCTAACTAATGTCAACTCATGATGAAATCCTGCAACTAATATGGAATTACTTACTACCACCACAGTGCTCAAGTTTCACATATATATATTAAAATAACAATCACTTACTATTATAGTATTCATTTCCACCGAAACGACGTGTTGTAAGCCGTGTTAATAGCTTCATTCTAATGATATCAATGTGACCAGTAATTAAATCAGTTCCAGCTGGTGTAGGAACAATTGTTCCATCATTAAGGGATTGATGACGGGTGAATGGTGTCTCGAAACCCTCTAAAATACGCATGAATGCATCACGCGCCAACTGACGTTGAACATCACGACTGAGAAAAGCATTTGCAGCGTCGAGTGAAAATGGTCGAACAGATGAAGGGACTGAAAGCAAAAAGTTGAGAAAACAATAATAATAATAATAGAGAAATCGATAAATCGATAATAAGGAAAACTGCAACAATCGACAGATCAATGGGGTCAACCAAATCATCAGGGAGACGGAGCCATATATACCGCGAATTGACAGAAGTTAGAATTCAAGAGCCAATGACTTTTTCCCAGACCTGAAATAGCAGAAAGTGCAGAGTAGTTTCTGATATGTATCCATATATATATATATATATATATATATATATGTGTATGGTGATCTCTCTTTCTGTTGCTCTCTTAGTCTGTGACCATTTCACTTTGATGAACCTGTCTCCTTTAACAATGTATATTCCCCTTATATTATATATAATATGAGCGTTTGTCGACAGTCCGTCGCTTGGTGACATATATCCATATTATGTGTGGTTGTTGACATGTCTGCTATATTTCGCTATGTATATATGGATCGATACTTCATTATAATTAGCCATTCATGTTAAGACTGTCTATTGATTTGTTCACACCCTTGTCTGGATGGCCATATATATTTCGCTCTCACAATTTGTGTGACTTACTTACTTTGGTGTGATACCACTTCTGCATTCTCTTTGTGCTTGGAAAATAGAAGTATCATCTCAAACCTAGTGGTCTTCTGATTTCCGCTTTCTTGCATCAGGACATATAAATTCTCGACCAGTACATAGCAATAATTGTGGCGACGAGTATATAACAATTTGGCGACGGGGAGAACTACTATTAACCACTCAGCAGCAGCAACACAACAGTTTCATCCCTTGAAGGCGATGGATGAGTATTGCTAAAGAGTTTCAAATTAAATTGGCAACACTTATCTAGTACCACGTAATATCCATCAGTGATGTCACAGATCGTGGAAACATCTACGTTGAAAAAAATGATCAATATACATATATACTGAGAGCAGAACTTAAATAACAACACAATACGATATCTGAAACTGAATGATGTACAATCTACGACAAATTACGAGTTTTGAATACAAATTGGCTTATTGACAAGGAGGCGACTAATGAAATCGGACATGATGAATCAAGACGAGACAAATAAGGGTCTCAGCTGGCCGACGCTATTATGAGTTTGTGTTGTAGAAAGGAACTAGGAACTCAGCTAGGTTGTGGATCGATTATTATTATTTATATTATTATTTCCTTTAATTCCTAAAGGAACATAGGGCTTCGGCCACGCCTCTCCATTGCGTTCAGTTCTCTGCCAACGTTTTCACCTGGCTTCAAGTCTGCCAACATGCTTTCATCTACTCTTTACATGACCTCCTCCAAGTCACCCCACCCTTGCACTGACGACCAACTCGCCGCTTCCCTTTCGAGTTCCACTCGAGCAATGGCTTGTCTAGTGGTGTCATTTGATGGTTTGTTTTCTCAGAGTATGGCCAATACACCTCCATTTCTTCCTGCCTATTTGTTGCACAATCAGTTTCTGCTGGTTGGTTCGCTCACTATTGCTTATCTTCTCTGGCCGGCCATCTGATCTTGAGTAGTATTGAGCGAAGACAACTGTTAATGAAGGTCTGTAGTTTGTTTGAGACGCTCTCCAGAATGTGCCAAGTCTCTGATCCGTATAGTAGCACTGATTTCACATGGGAGTTGAAGATCTGGATCTTATTTTTTCATGGTGAGTGGTGTTGACCTCCACACAGACTTAAGAGTAATGAAAGCTTGTCCTCCTTTCCCGATCCTAGCCTGGATATCCTCGTCAGTTCCGTCCACCTGTAGTTGAAACGGTGCTTCACAGACAGATGGGTAGGTAAAGGAGGTTGTTTCTTTCCGGTTCCTGCCATTTATGCTGGCTGATTCTTGTTTGTTGTTGTTGATGTGGCTGTTTCTGTTTTATGTTCACCTGAAGGAAGTCCTATCTTCTCTGGATGTTTCTTCTGCCAACTTGTTGCTTTTCACTTGCATATCTTCCAGTTTGTGGGAAATCAGACATACATCATCGGCGAAGTCCAGATCCTCCAAGTTTTTCATGAGAGTCCATTTTATCCCTGATTCCTCGCTCTGGGGCCCACTGTCTGTCTGTCTGTCGCATTATCCAATCTACTGCAATCAGGAAAATCATTGGCGATAGTATGCAGCCTTGCCTTGGGATCAATTATAATAATAATAATAATCATAGTTGTTAAGAATTATTTATCCTTTGCGCTCAGTGTGGAAATTAGGCCTTCAACAGCATATCATCAATCTACTCGGTTCTCTGTCATCACTTAGAGCTGACTCCACGACTTACTCACAAGCTTTCATTGTCTCCTAACACGATCTCCTACCGTCGTATAAAGAGGCAATCGTGGAGCTAGCTAGCTACAAGAAACGGCAGAGAACAGATTGAAATGGAGATCGACTGCTGAAGCCCTATGTTCATGTTCTACACGGAATCCAAGGGGAATAATGATGACAATTCAATCAATAATAATGATGAATGAGAATGGAACGGTTTGTGATAAGAAGGATACTGTACAATAATGCTATTTCTCTGCATCCTTGTTAGCACAAATCCCTTCATATGTTCAGCTTTATCATTATTAACAAGACTCTATCATCCTGTTGACAGATTATCATGATCGATTTAATTTGGTTGACAGCAACCACTAGACAGGTAAATTGTAGGATTATTATTTCGTCATATTTGGGACTCATCAGTCTGAGTGATGATACTCCTAGTGAGATTCAAAGTTCTGTTGTCTGGTACGTAATCTTCACGTGACGAGGCAAGCCCGTCGCCTATTCAACCACTGGGACAGTAGGAGATCCAGTGTCCTATGAATTCCAAATTCTGGCAACTCGTGATATTATATATGTAGCGCCTAATTAGGACAAAACAGCTGTCCAGTACTCACTCAGTGGTTCTCTAACTGATGAGGCAGTTCATGATCTAACTTGAAAATAATGAGATCCCTGTAAAACCACACTTAAAAATTATGAGATGACTAATTTAGTTGTAGGATTTCATTATGATTTGGCATCAGTCACAGAACCATTGAAAAACCAGCTGGGAGTACTGGACAGCACAGAATTCATGAGTCATTGGATCGGATCCCAGTGGCTCAATGGTCTACTACGTGATAGTTCGCCTTGCAACCAGAAGGTCCTTGGTTCAAACCTCGGTGGATGCATACCGATGAACAGTCCCAAAAAAAGGACGAAACGACCTTCCACCAGTGCCTTCTGGCTCATAGTCGTCCTCTAATTAAAGTTAGTTCGATGCATGGGTGGTTCAGCGATAGGATGTTCGCCATCTAAGCATATGCGCCGGGGTTCAATTTCCCGTCGAAGTATACAAAAACTTCGCCTTTTTTGTTCCTTTACCTTCCCAATGCTAGGGCATAGGGCATCAAGCCAAAGCTTTGAAGTCTCGGTAGCAGTTGTATTTATTTTCATGGGATAGGGTTGCTAGCCTGCCTCGTGCCCGACCTTCCCTATTTACCAGTTTTATTACTGACTTAGCGAAGTAAAGGAGTGTGTCGGTGGCCACTGTATCGAACCCCAAATAATATGCGTGATTGGCGGGGATCCTAGCTATGTGCCATCGACGTATATAAGCCTCGCTTAGCTGGTTGTAAGCCCAGTAAAGATGGAAAGGTTGAGCATGGAGCTAGTAACCCCCATTTTGTAAAAGAGAATAACATCACTGCTACTGAAATTCCAAAACTCAAAGCTTGAAGCCCTATATTCCACTGAGAACAGATCGACATCGGAATTCCAGTTATTAGTCTGAAAGAATTGCTTTTAAGAGATGTACTATGAATGCTCGCTCCCGCCAAATGCAAGATGATGTTACAGGACTGGACTACAGCGATGCTTTAAAAAAAAAGTGAAGTGGTAGAGCATGTTGACCGCTTCACTTATTTGGAAGTACCATCAACTAGTACCAACAGGTTGGTCTCTGACGAAATCTCAGCACGAATACAAGGGGCTCGTTTCGCATTTGCCAGTTTACGCCGACTCTGGCGTAGACGAGATGTTCGACTATCGACCAAAGGGCGGGTGTACTGCTCATCAGTCCGCTCCGTCCTCATTCATGGCTGTGAGACATGGCCACTGAGAGTGGAAGACATGAAAAGACTAGCTGTCTTTGATCATAGGTGCCTGCGCTCTATTTCCCGTGTAAAGTGGCATAATAAGGTGAGCGACATTGAGGTTAGGGGTAGAGTTCTAGGTAAACAGGGAAATCAATCGACGAAATCGTGAAGCTACAAAGACTGAGATGGTTAGGACATGTGTTACGTATGCCAAGCCATCGCCTCTCTCGACGAGCAATGTTAGCGATGTAGGGTCAGGCTGAAAAAAGCTAGCGGTGGTCAAACAAAAACTTGGCATCAGTCAATGAAATCCACAACAGTTGGTCTAAGCCACGTAGACTGTGTAGACTTTCTGACTGGAGTCCTCGAGACCGTAAAAACCAATGGTTGAAACAATTGGTGACATGGCTCAAAATCGTTCTCAGTGGCGCAGATGCATCCACTCCTTGTGACTTATGATCTTCAATGAAACTGTTTTGTTTTTCTTTATTACTTCTTTGTCTCACGCCTCTGCTCACTGTCTCTATTATGCTTTTCTTGTACTTTCTTCTCTTGCTTCGCGTGCTACACGGAGTGTGGCGACTTGAACTGGTGCACATTTGTGCAAAGTTCTATGTCGAAAACAGACAGACTATGATTGTACACTTCACATTCAACAACCTTTACTACAGACAAATCGACGGAATTGCCATGGGTTCTCCATTGGGGCCAATTTCAGCAGATTTCTTTCTTGCCAAGATTGAAAATGGTCCATTGAGACAAGTAATAGAGAAAACCGATTCTTATTTTCGTTATGTTGATGATACGTTTGTTATTCTTGATGTGAAAGCTGACAAGAATGAAATGTTAGAAAAGTTTAACGACCCACATCCATCGCTCATCTTCACTAATGAAGAAGAAGAACATGATGGTAGACTACATTTCCTTGACGTCCAATTGAGCAGAAGAGAGGATGGTTCACTCAAGGGAGATGTCTATAGAAAACCTACATCTGTAGGATAATATACACATTTCCTCAGTTTTGTAGCAATCCGATACAAAGTCAATTTGGTCAGATGCCACCTCACGAATACAGCAAGACGTATCTGTACAGATGACTCCCTACAAAATGAGTTAAATTACATCCAAAATATGCTGGTCCAAATGGGTTATCCTAGTAGATTTGTAGGGAGACACATGAGCAGCAAGTACAATATAGAGAAACTAACAGCAGTTGAAAAGAAACAACTGTTCATGAAACTGCAATTTAATGGGGACGTGGCTAGTGGAGTCTTACACCTGAGATTATCGAGAGCGATAAAACGGACTTATACTGCCGCCACCCTCTGTTTGTCATTTTCCAGCCGACCAATTTCGATTGCTCAAGTGAAAGATAAGCTACCTGGCTGGGGGACTTCTGTGTGTATCTATAAATTTATTTGCTCCTGTGGAGAGAGCTAGCTATATAGGCCGAACAACTAGACAGTTTAACAAACACATTGATGAGCATCTTCCTTCATGGTTCGGAAAAGGTCAAATAAAATCCATACGAAGTTCTATTTTGACTCATTTGATTGATAGCGGTCACCAAGTGGACAAAAATAGTGCCTTCAAAGTTATCTATCGCATTCCATCCAGCCTTTCGAACGGCATTCGAACCCGCCTTAAACACATAGCCGAAGCTATGGGTAATTTGAGAGAACAATCCTAGTCTTTGCATACAACAAAAGAAGTTTGTTCTACCTTTTTCTCTCCCATGGCCTAGGTTAAATCTAATCAACCCCCCCAACACACACACTATTTCTTATTTTCCATCTCCGTACTTTTATGATATTTATTTAAACTCTGATTATCTGTCCAGTTCACCCTTAGTATTACGTAACTTTTAGGACGCCTGGACGCCATAGAAAGAAATGAACACTCTTAAGAAAATCCTCCTTGAAAATGGATATCCAGAAAGATTTATCACAAAATCAATGAAACCCAGTGCTCCAAAAAGACTTCTCTACGTGAACCTACAGTTCATTGGAGACCAATCTACAGAAATACTGAGAAATCGGCTCTCCGCTCATTGAAGAAAACCTTCCTTGCAGCTGAATTACGACTGACGTTCTCCACGAAACCAATGATTCGTATGAACGTGAAGGATAAGCTACCGCTGTGGGCCTATCTATGTGCATCTACCAATTCACCTGCTCGTGTGAAACCAGGTATATCGGCCGTACTCACGTTTGCTATCCAAACGCGTCAACGAACATTTACCTTCATGGTTTTATAAAGGGGAAAACCGATGCCCCGTAGCTCAATCCTTGAACATTTGAACGACTCTGGACACCAAGTCAAACCAGAAATAAACTTCAGTTATTACAGAATACAAGCAATCTTGCTAAAAGTGTACGGATCAAACTTCTCCACATCGCAGAAGCAATGGCAATTCATCTGCTAATCCTGAACTCTGCATACAAAAGAAATTCGTTCATTCATTAAATCTACAATGGACGTAATCTTTCTTAATTTCAGTCTTACTAATTGTATTATTTTGTCTTTTGCATTTTATTATTTCACATCTTCATTTATATTATTATCCACCAACGCTTTTGTAATCTCTACCCTCATTAACAATGTTGCTAACTTGACTCACGTCCACTTTCTAGTCAACTATGTTACGTCATCCGATTAACTTAATATTTTCAACTGTATTATTCTCTAACCCCACCCTTATTTAATTTTAACCACCACTTATTAACACTGTTGCCAACCTGACCTACTCTGAATTCTACTTAACTGTATTACGTCATCCAATTCACTTAATCAATTCTATTTTATTTTCTATCTTAACGTTTGTCTCCAAGCCAAATAATACTTACATTACATAATTATCTCAACTTCATAAATCTAATGACACACACACACAAACAAAATTGTACATATATATGCGATTGTACAGCTCAGTGAATGAATTCACCGAAAAGGATCTCTTCGCTGAACGCCTTGTTTTCTTTTATAATTATTTATTTATTGAATTGTCTACATGTACACATATTACTACCTTCTTATCGCCACCTGCATAAACCTTATTATCAATATTTTGGTATCATTATAATCACCGTTATTAATGATGTTCAAAACATTTACCACATAATTATTATTATTATTTGATCCACAAAACCACCGTGATTGGTTAAAAATTTCTATACATAAATCTATGTAAATCAGAGTAAAGCCTGAAGATCTAATTGAAAACAGCAATATTGTTCGCTTATGTCTTGTTCCAAAATATATATATATATATATATATATATTACACAATAACCTACCAATTAAATCCGTCTGAGGCATATGTATAGTTGAACTGGTATACTGATTGAAAGGCACATTGCCAAGTGTTGCTTGACCTGACATTACTGTTGGCTGTTGTTGTTGTGTTGTAGTGAGGCCACCGCCGCTGCTACTGCTGCTACTTGTGAAGGTGTTTGTTGTTGTTGTGGCGGTGGTGGTGGTATCATACCCGGTGGCATCATCATAGGCATTAGCGGTGGTGGCGGTTGAGAGGGATTAAAGCCAGGCATCAGCATATTTGGTGGCATTGTAGGCGGCAACGACATGGTATTCTGACCTGGGAACATTGGCATCATACCACCACCACCACCAGGTACACCAGGTGGAAGCATCTTCATATCCAAAGATTCATTGATCATTTGTTGTTGTTGTGTACCATATCCAACGAGGGTGGAGATATTCATGGTTTGTGCAGTGTGCATTTTACGTGCAGCATTAGCACGAATTACAGCATCCTCCGCCTCTGGATCATTTTCAGCCGATGTCTGACCACCTAACATATGCTTGTATAAAAAGAAAATATTGAATATAAGAGGAGAATAGAGGAAGAGACAATATGTGTATAATTAAAACAGAAAATTTATGTGTACATCATGGGCCACAAGAGATGCGTCACAGAAAATCGCATAGTTTGTACGAAAGCTGGAAGGGATACTCTTCCTGGACGCCCAGACTGAAGCAGATGGCTGTCTTAAAAAGCAACCCTCCAACGCCCCACCCCGCTGCCATTCTTTGTCTTGGATTCTGATTCACATGGCAGTGCAGAAGAGTTAAAAGCTACGCTTCAATGGTTGTTGGTGCCTTGCCCAGAACAGATTCCTACATCATTTGGTACTTTTGGATTCTCAGAATCATTTACACCACAAGTTTAGAATTGAGGTTTTCCAGTTCCCCCCTCCCTAGGTAGACTTGCATATCCACCAGTACGGTTGTAAGCACCAGGACGTTAGCATTCGCCGTTTTTTAGTTTTTTTGAGGACCCATCAAAGGCTATGAACGCATGGTCTCCTGAAAGCATTTAGACAGAAAGAGGAAGGTCTATCCACCGTCGGCTGTACCGGACCATTTATGGGGGCTAATAAAATTACTTCTTATACATATGTAATACGGTTTGGTATTTCAAAAGATGCATACAGTAGTTTTCTAAACGCTTAAGTGGAGTTGTGACTCACTTCTCCAGAAACACTCTAAACAATTTCAACGACTTGGTCACGGACCCGAAGCCTGCTTCACCTACCGACGACGTTTTGGCAGCTGCTAGGCAGAATCACCAGCCCTGTCATACAACAGATGAGGCTCATTGCCAATTGCATAAAACTCCATGTGATTGTTGAATGATATTCATTTCTAAGCCTAATAATTCAATACAAAATCAAACTAGCCCTAAAGCCTTATAGAATAATAATTCAGATAGCCATTTAAACAGTGATGTAATATACTACTGATTGATTGATATAAGTAGTTGCGAACCACTCAAAAATCAAATAGCATTGCTCGTCAATTAGGCGGGTGTTTTGTTCATAAAAAGCGCAGTCAATTTGACTCTGTTCAGAGAGAGGGAGGAATCAGTTCAAAACAAATGGTGAGGGACATCAAATATCTTTAACTAGTCATCCCTGAATGTTGTCACAGCATAAGACATGAGGTTATTCATATACAAGATTAGTTAAGTCGATATAAAATGTCGACAGGTTAGTTAGCTGTAAGTGACAAATACTGTGTAAGAGCTGGTGACACAACTAACCCAGGAGCGGAGTTCTAACCTCAGACCCTAATCCTCGATTTGACAAGTCACATTTGCACTTATCATCTTAAAAGGCGTGCCGAAATCAATCTTCTGCTTTGCTATCTGTCTGTCTGTTTTCGACATAGAACTTTGCACAAATGTGCACCAGTTCAAGTCGCCACATTCCGTGTAGCACGCGAAGCAAGAGAAGAAAGTACAAGAAAAGCATAATAGAAACAGTGAGCAGAGGTGTGAGACAAAGGAGTAATAAGGAAATACAAAACAGATTCATTGAAGATCATAAGTCACAAGGAGTGGATGCATCTGCGCTGGCCACTGAGAACGATTTTGAGCCATGTCACCAATTGTTTCCAACCATAGATTTTTACCGTCCCGAGGACCCCAGCCTGGAAGTCTACACCTTTCTACGTGACTGGCTTAGACCAACTGTTGTGGATTTCATTGACTGATGCCAAGTTTTTGTTTGACCGCCGCTAGCTTTTTTCCAGCCTGACCCTACATCCGCTAACATTGCTCGTCGAGGGAGGCGATGGCTTGGAATACGTAACACATGTCCTAACCATCTCAGTCTTTGTAGCTTCACGACTTCGTCGATTGATTTCCCCTGTTTACCTAGAACTCGACGCCTAACCTCCATGTTGCTCACCTTATTATGCCACTTTACACGGGAAATAGAACGCACGCACCTATGATCAAAGACAGCTAGTCGGCCTTTTCATGTCTTCCACTCTCAATGACCATGTCTCACAACCATAAAGGAGGACGGAGCGGACTGATGAGCAGTACACCCGCCCTTTGGTCGATAGTCGAATATCTCGTCTACGCCAGAGTCGGCGTAAACTGGAATATGCGAAACTAGCCCTCTGTATACATGGTGAGATTTCGTCAGAGACCAACCTGTTGGTACTGGCTGATGGTACTTCCCAAATAAGTGAAGCGGTCGACATGCTCTACCATTTCACTCCCTATTTCTAAGCTAAGATTCAATGTAGTTCAGTCCTGTAACATCATCTTACATTTGACAAAGGGAGCGAATCGCATGCCAAACATTCGTAGATTACAGCTCAAGGTGTTCAGAAGACTCTGCATTTCGTCAGCGTCTTCGCCTAGAAGGACTATATCGTCTGCATATTCCAAGTCAACGAGATTATTCCCCGGTAGCAAGTCAATCCCTGAGTCACTGAAGTCACCTAGGGTTAAGTCCATTAACACATCTATGATGAAGTTGAATAGAAAAGGAGATAATGGGCATCCTTGACGGACACCACTGGTCGTCATCAGTTCAGATGACAGCTCGCCGTAAGCCCTCACCTGGCTGTATGAGTACGAGTAGAGTGCCTTAATCAGTGCAATATATTTTCTGCTTTGCTATAGACGATGTTGGTAGTCTGCCATCCGCATTTATCGGGGATTAAGCGTTCAATTGTTACTGCGACCATTTAGGAAGATGTTCCTCCGTCCCCGCGTGCACATGCGATTACTCCCCCTCCCCCAGTATATGTGTGTCCATAAAAATACACATACATGTAAATTGGTATACTACATAGGGTGTGGCGTAATCCCTTGTGCAATATTCAGGCTTGTGGTACAACATCTCATTGGCTTTCACGATTAAAGACTGGTGGTGCATGGATAACAAAATTTAGTCACTGTCCGGAACTCACACTATTTGTCCTTTCAACGAAAAGCAATTCAACACAGACAACTTTCTTCCGAACACAGTAGTAAACTGTAGGTCCGAAAACCCCGAAGGATATCGCTTCTCAACCAATGCGCCGGGCAATGTTACACTGTCAGTTATCTATTATCGTATCTAAACAGCCGTCTTCTCTGGCCCCATATTCAAGATGGAATGACCCTAAAAAAGAATCAGCAACAAGAAACTCTGGGAACCAGCAAACCAATCAAGAACCTATTGCTCAACAAATATCTCAATGAAAATGGAGGTGGATGGGGTAGTGTGCTGAAGAAACCATCGAATGTACACGCAGTGTCAGGTCATCGTTTGAATAGAAAACGACAAAGTGAGGCACTCAAGGGTGACACACAGAGGAGATGAAAAACAATGGTCAATAGTGGAGCCAGATGAAAAGGACCTCAGAGGACAGAATACGTTAGAGACGTACTGTTGAAGCCGTATGTTCCATTCGGAACCCAAAGAAACAATAATAATAATTTATTGCGTGAGCTGTATAGCTGTATGCATAATGCTCTTCAATAAGGGGTTAAACAAGCCTCTATTGTATCGCAGTGGACAGGAACTGTGGAAACTTAAACGCTGCCACACGTGTTCAAACAGACATCCCATAAAATGATTGGCCCTATATATATATATATATATATATATATATATATATATATATACGAAAATATTCATTCAGACATCTATAAAACACAAAATAATTCAGCGAAAAATAGCCTTTTCGATAATTTCTTTCTCCTCTGGCTCTACAATTATATATGCATGCTTATATACATAGAATACTTTAGAATAGTAGTCAATATCAATATTAGTGTTTTTTAAATATCCGTTTGTATAGCAAGATAACAATGGAACTACAGTTCATTAAAGATGCTTAAATAATAATAATAACAAAGATATAGTAGCAACTAGAATATCAAATAAAATTAGGAAAATTTCACAAAAATTCAGGATCATTCAAGCCTAGATGGCCAAGGTAAGGATAATGTCTGAACTAACTTCTTTTGGATGCATAAATTAGGCTTATTAATATGGATCCCAACAGCCAGCCTCAGCAAATTTAGTAGTCGAACTCTTGAGGCGAAATTGAGATTCGTAGGTAGGCCGTAAATGACTCTGAAAGCTGCCTCGTTAACATCAATCTTATGTTCTGTTGCTTACACAAGATGAGATAGAATAGCGCTGTCGAATAGATTTTGTTTGTCTTTTACTTAACCACTATGCAGGATGATGTTTGGAAATTCGACGAGAAACATGCCTAAAGGCATGGCCAATGTAACTGACTGGCTCCACAGAGGCAGTCAAACTGGTAAATACACATCAAAAAGGCGAAATTAGACAGCTTGTCTTTTACTCCCAAACACAAAATAGGTGAGTGGTTTTGAAGACACAGCGTAATTTAGCAGCAGCAGCAGCAGGGAATGCTCTTTTTACCGCATTTCTAAGGTGCTGTCTTAGTATCTCGCTGATGTTGTCCCCAAGGAACTGCATTTGTAAGAATAAGGCCTTTTTAGGAACTGATAAAAAATGTTAGGGAATGACAGATTTCCAGTTGTATGAATATTATCATTACTTTTCTGAAAGAAGCCACACACTCTACTACTTGTGCTCTTTAATATTATAAGTTGTTATAGTATTTACCATCTCATATAAAGAAGGTACCAAAAGTTCCTGAAAAGGCCTTATTCTTATAAATGCAGTTCCTTGGGGACAACACCACCGAGATACTAAGACAACGCCTTAGAAATGCGGTAAAAAGAGCATTCCCTGCTGCTTAATTGCGCTATCTTCTAAACCATTCCTCTTTTGCGTTCGGGAGTAAAAGACAAGCTGCCTAATTTCGCCTCTTTCATGGGTATCTACCAATTTAACGGAATGGCCTTATATATATATATATATTGTTAAAATGAGGTTGCTTACCAAACGTCGTTTTTTAGATTTCATCGATTCTTTCTGCATATCACTGCCTTGTTCAGAGGCACGTGGTTCACTTTTGAAGCTACGTTTACGTATGCCTTGGCTATCACCACGATCATCATCTGCATCGTCAACAGGAATTAACAGCGTCTCCACTTGATTTATCCGATCAGCTACTTCATACTGTCCACCTTCACCAGCCCATACACTCAGTTGGACAGCAAGCATACGGGCTAAATGACGTATTTGTGCTGATGTTCCAGCCGCTGCTATCGGTGTATACGTCGAATGAAATGATGCAGGCATTTGATCGGGTAAAGTGACCATACTGTTTGTGTAAGAAAATGAAGTAAGAAAAAAAAAGTCGACTTGCAAAATCAATACACAAATACTGGGATAGATACAAGACAATATGTAAGACAAAAAAAACCAACAGCAAAGTTAAACTCCTCTGGAACTTCCAACTGAAAGGGGGTACACATCCCAGAAAAGTTATCTGGAAGGAGGTTAGACTGAAAGTAGCTCCCATTATGGTGTGGGTCATCCACACTGGGTTGGAAGTCTGTGAGTAAACTCGGACTGTTGGTGGTCAGAGGTGTAAAGGCAGTAGGACTTTTCGTCCAAGACAACTAGCTATGGTGCCTCACCTCTTTGGAGAGATGGTGGGGCGCCATAAAAAGCTGACTCCGAAGATTGAACATAGAAACTTATCTTGCAGTGGTTCATAGACGGAAGTAAGACCAGAAACCAACCCAAACAGACCGTATGTATGGCAACATCCCCCCACCTCCGAGAAGAAATAAATTCCACAGTGAGGACAGCACACAAAGCGTTCATCTTCTTAATTTTTTGCCACTGCTGATAACTATTCCAAAGGTAAATTGTCTCTTATCTCTTCTGAACTCTGCGACTAATAAAAGCGATCAGGGCCGGAAAAACACAACTCTACTATTGAACCTAATCTACATGAATAACAAGAGCATACTCGGAAAACCAAGTAGGGAAATTAGACAACTGATGGCCAGTGTTAGAATCAAGGCGTATTTCTTCCACCTGCAACGCCAGTGCGAATAATGGTGTTCCACCGCTAGTTGAACCCAGAAACACCTTTATATATGCCAAACACAGACCGATTATTTCGGCGGCTCTGGTGAAATGAAACAGTGAGGAATTCAACAAAATACAATAAAATGTACTCTGGCGATACTTGGCTGTAAAAGGAATGCCGACAAAATACATTGCAGAAATCAAGGCACTCACTCGAACTCATACAGCCACGTTAGGGTTTATGGCGAGTTGTTCAGCCTCCAAAGCCTCAGGATGGTCGGGGGTGGGTGTCTTGCGCTGCGGGTTGGCCACCCCTCCGTACACCTCTTGAAATGCTCCCATATGACCGGGCGTCTTACATAGCCTCTCCTGAGGAAGTCCTACTCACTGCCTTCACGTGGCGGAGGTGTTTTTCACCAAAGTGAGAGGGCAAAAGCGGATGCCCGGCGCTCTTCACCGGGTTGACTGTCCATTGGATGACAGTCTAGGGGAGATGGCTAAACCCTGATTCCAAACCTCCAACGACTGGCGTATGAAGCTCACCGGCAGACGTATGGACAAAGGGCTTATTGGATGCCCTGGATGACTGGCCCCATTCAAAAAGGCGAATGAACCGGTCACCGGCTGCCAATGGATAGTGGACTCCCTACTCCACTCCTACTGCCTTGTAGGTCACACTTGGTTGTGTAAAGGCTAGAGCTGCACTCTCAAACAAAAGGCCGAGCGATGTTGGGGACATCACTCGTACCCAATTCCCATGAAACTTCATGGTTCATGAAGCCGGCTCATCCTCCCGTAGGAGATAGCCGAAGTAAAGTAAAGTAGTCATCTGAACTAGTGACGACTAGTGGTGTCTGTCAAGGATGCCCATTATCCCCATTCCTATTCAATTTCATCACAGATGTACTAATGGATTTAACCCTAACTCACTTCAGAGACTCAGGGATTCACTTGGGAATATGCAGACGATATAGTCCTTCTTAGGCCAGGACGCTGACAAAATGCAGTGTTCTGAACACCTTGAGGTGCAATCTACGAATGTTTGGCATGCGATTCGCTCCCTTTGTCAAATGTAAGATGATGTTACAGGACTGGACTACATTGAATCTTAGCTTAGAAATAGGGAGTGAAGTGGTAGAGCACGTTGACCGCTTCACTTATTTGGGAAGTACAATCAGCCAGTACCAACAGGTTGACCTCTGACGAAATCTCACCACGGATAGAGAGGGCTAGTTTCGCATATTCCAGTTTACGCCGTCTCTAGCATAGACGTGAAATCCGGCTAACGACCAAAGGGCGGGTGTACTGCCCATCAGTCCGCTCCGTCCTCATTCATGGCTGTGAGTGAGACATGGTCATTGAGAGTGGAAGACATGAAAAGATTAGCTGTCTTTGATCATAGGTGCCTGCGTTCTATCTCCCGTGTGAAGTCGTATAATTAGGGTGAGCAATATTGAGGTTAGGCATCGGCCGAGTGCTATGTAAGGAGGGAGGGGAAATCAATCGACGAGGCTGTAAAATTACACCGACTGAGACGGTTAGGACATGTGTTACGCATGCATGCCTAGTCATCGCCATCCTCGACGGGCAATGTTAGCAGACATGGGGTCCGGCTGGAAAAACGCTAGCGGCGGTCAAACAAAAACTTGGCACCAGTCAATGAAATCCACAACAGTAAGTCTAAGCCACGTACGAATGTGTAGACTTTCTGAGTCCTCGGGACCGTAAAAACCAATGGTTGGAAACAATTGGTGACATGGCTAAAAATCGTTCTCAATGGCCGGCGGAGATGCACCCTCTCCTTATGACTTATGATATGCAATGAAACTGTTTTGTTCTTCGTTATTACTATTCCTTTGTCGGCGCAGTTAAACTTTCGACACCACTAACTACCAATCAGCGAATTATCCAATGAGGTTCACGAACGCAGTTCAATGTTGTAAAGCGCTTGATTCATTTCTAATGCGTGACCTTACAAGGCTATAGTTGCAATTCGAGGAGGTTAGTGTTTTCCAGTATTTCCTGGATGAGTTGCCCTGGAAACAGCGAATTTGTTTGTGTGGTGGTATCACTACTTTAAAAAGCTATACCAAATCAACTGATGGGTTTGTTCATCTGGAGAGGGTAAACTGATAATTTTAATATTTCGTAGGAACTTACTTTCGCTAGGTCGCATCTCTCCCTAACCCAGATTTTGTATATCTGCAACTAATGGGTGTTGAAAAAGGCTGTGAGAGCAGCAGCTGCCGAGATGGAGAATAGCTATGTCTCAACAGTTTAGTGGTACCAGTATTGCAGAGACATCGCATCATGGAAAATGGTTAAAATCACTTGTTTGCTGGGTGGGGAAGACGTTATCGTGCGTGTCGATGAGACAGTGCTGGTAAAAAAGAAATACAACCGTGGTCGCCAGCGAGCGAACAATATTTGGGTAATAGGTTTGTATGACACCTCCCTCCAAAAGGGATTCGTCGAAAGGATAGCAGATGGAAAAGCATTGACAGTCCCATGCTAAACTGGGAGATGTTTCTCTCACATGTTCGAGAAAGATACCCCATGTAACTTTTTCATCCTCTATTTTGTGCTTTTTTCTATAAATATACATTTCCATTCATCATATATGCCTCTTTAACGTAATTGGTTCGTTCAAGGTCGTTTGCTGATTGGTTGTTAGTGGGTCTAAAGTTTAACTTTGCCCCTTTGTCTTACACCTCTGTTTACTGTCTCTATTATGCCTTTCTTCTACTTTGTTCTCTTGCTTTGTGTGCTACAAGGAGGAAGTGTGTCGACTTGAACTGGTGCACATCGGTGGAAAGTTCTATGTCGAAAACAGACAGACAGAATATGTACATAGATATTATAAAAGAGACAGGAGGCCTGAGTACCTGAGTAAAACTAAATCAGCGACATTAGCTGTTGTCAGTTTTGGTACTATTCTTGATGTGATCATATCAACTTGTGGCATTTGACTTTTAACTTCTGTAGATCCAGTTTTTGAAGTGATCGATTTATTACCACTACCACCACCAGGTGTTAGATTCCCTGTATTAGTAGTAGTAGTAGTAGATAACCGTCTCTTCTTCTTTTTTAGACGTCTAGATGAACGAGGTATCTGAATGTCTTCATCATCTTCATCGTCGTCATCATCATCGTCGAATCGAAGAGCTGCTTCTGCCTAGAAAAAAATCAAGAAAAAGAAAAAAAGTCAAAAGGAGATAACAGAAGAAAATCAAATCATAAAATTTTTAAATGCTGCCTGTGAAAACTGCAACTGTAATTTGTCATACTCTGTCAGGATCACAGTACATAACTGACTGACTGGCTGTCTGATTCACTAACATGGAACTTTGCATAGAAGTGCACCAGTTCAAGTTGTCTCACTCCGTGTAGTATACAAAAGAGGATAAACGAGAAAAAAGATATCCGAAAGAACGAAAATAAGCATAAATATGAAGAAAAAAGTGCAGTGACATGGAAAAACATGCCAGTTTTGTGGATATGGGGGATGACAAAGAGTGTATGAGCCAAGAGATTTACACCTCCCTACTTGGATGGCTGGATTAAACTGTCAAAGATTTTATTGACTGATGAAGCCATGTTTTAGTTTGACCACCACTAGTAGCTCTTTTCCGACCTCATCGATCTTATGTCAGCTAACATTGATCGTTGAGAAAGGTGATGGCTTGGCTTGTATGTGTAACACATGTCATAGCCATCTCAATACATGCAGCTGCTTCACAGCCTCGTCGATTGATTTCCCCTCCTTCCTTACCTAACACTCGACCGATGTCTAACCTCAATATTACTCACCCTATTATACCACCACCTGACACGGGAGATAGAACACAAGCACCTATGATCAAACACAGCTAGCCAACCAGCCTTTTCGTGTCTTCCACTCTCAATGGCCAGGTCTCACAGCCATAAAGGAGGACGGAGCGGACTGATCCTAGGCTACAAGCCACATCTATTCAGTGACAGCTAATAGTACTATACCCGGCCGACAACTGCTACTTTGCCGTGGTGGTCGGGCTTGAATACCGCAATGACCCAACAAGCTAAACTGACTGGGACTCATGTCCCTGCAGGTCCTACCATGTCAGGAAGGTTGTTTGGATAGCAGTTAGACTAAAAGCAGTCAACATGGGGTACATGGGCTCTAGAATCCAATCGGATCAAATGGCATAGGATGAACCCGCTTGGGTCACCGGGAACCATGGGAATGCAGCTCTTGACGCTGCTCCGCTGCCTTGCGGATTAGACTCCAAATCAAAGGCTCGAGGTGTGGTCCCTTAAGAAAACTATCTGCTTCGTTCTAGGCGCCCGGTCAGTGTCTCAGACCTCACACAACAAATGAAATAAAACAACAAACTATTATTGAAACTCTCCACGCGCTCGTAAAAATGATTTCAAGTAATAACGATACCTCAAGTAACTTATGTCCCTTCCAACCCTACCTTTATTTTTATACTTAGAATCCTGTATTTTACCTTTGATAACCTTGACTTCTTAACCTTTGACAGCCTTTCGCCTTTTTCTAGATTCCTAGCCTATTTGTGTCGTTTCGAGATGTTAGTGAGTTATCCTCAAAATGGTTGTCCCTAATGTGACATCTAACACAGATATTCTGAAACCGCGTGCCACCTTCAAACTGGTCATCTACAATGTTCGGACGCTGATGCAAATCGGACAATAGTTAGGGTTGGTAAGAACTTTGGAAAGCCTCGCTATCGATGTCTGGTGCATTTCGGAGACCCGCATTCAAGATCCAAGTGAAGTGCTTCGACTATCCTCTCCATCTGGAGGTTCTAGTAGTACGTACCACCTGCGCTTGTCCGGGGACCCTGTGACGTCGTCATCCGGCGTAGCTGGTGTCAGTGTCACACTGAGCGCTAGAGCCGAAGCTGCATTGCTCGAATGGATTCCCATTAACAGTCATTTATGTGCTGTGAGGCTGGAAGGTTATACGAAAGTAAAGTAGTAGGCCAGATAGGCGGTGTCTATTTGTTGTCTCTGCCTATGCACCGACGGATTGCAACCCGGATGCAATGAAGGATGAGTTCTACCACCAACTTAGCGGTCTCTTGAAACAGGCAGGTCGGAGGGATATCGTAGTGCTGGCTAGGGGGCTTGAATGCACAGGTCGGGCGTCTACGCTCAGAGGAGAATCGTCTAGGTGGTCAATGGGGCCTACATGGTCGCAGGTCAGATAGTGGGGACCGTCTTCTGTAGCTTAGCGCGGATCACTACCTATTTCTAGCCAGCATGTGCTGCGAATGTCATTCCAGATGAGGCTTCCATACAGGTCTCTGTTGGCTAGCCAGCCCTGGGACGGGATGGAAAAGGCGGAGGGGCGGGTGGTCAATCATGACGTGGTGTCGTAGGATGAAGGATGTTTGTGCTAGATTACCATCGGTTGGTGCGTCACGACTCCCTGGTTGGGGTCGGCGAGATAGCTCGTATCGATGGTTCGAAACGTTACCGGATATGGCCAAGAATCGTAATCAATGGCGAATGTGTTGCAATTTCCTTCTTGCCTTCCTTCCCGATGAAAGTTGACGAATACTGTTCGAACTTGTTGAGCATGACTGTTTTCCTTCCAGATGAAGTTCTTTATCCGTTCTCTACTTATATATTTTTTACTTTTGATCTATGTTGTTTTATTATTATTGTGTGGCGCATCTTCTTGGCAACATATTGTACCAATTTTTTTTCTGCGTTTCAATAAATAATAATAAGTTGCCTAGGGCTGAAAAAGACGACACAGAATTCGAACCCAGAAACTATTGGGCTGAAAATTAATTGCTTAAACAAACGAACGATGTCTCCACACGCACACTCACACATACACAAGAAAGTAGGAATGCTAAACACACATAAATATACATTATTCGCTTTTCTAAGTAAAACTAACCTCAGCTAATGTGAATCCGCCAGAAGTTGTCGGTGCATCTTTCTGACTTGATGTTGATTCTGTCTGTAACTTGGTAGAATCTGTAGAAGATGGTGTAGCAGAAATGGTTACTGCAGTTGTCGACGGTGTTGCTGTTGCTGACAAAGTAGCTTGTGATTGACTACTACTGAAGGATGTTTTCATATCAGTTGGCTGTATATTACTTGACTGAGTGGTTGTAGAGACAACAGTGGATGAAGAAGCTGGTGTAACCGGAGGTATTGATTGCTGGCGAAGAAGTTGTTGTTGCCGCTGCTGTCGCATGTCAACATCCCCATGATCTAAAGAACCTGGTTCTATACGACTAACCATAAATGTACTTGGATCTGGATAAAGACGTGAACGTGATAATTCTGTATGACTTTGTAATGCTTGTAATACCTTAATAATGGTGGAAAATAAAATGCAGCTAAGGAGGGGGCAAGGGGGGCGGAGTTAGCATATTTTAACATATTAAAAACAAAACCAGTACAGTAATCACAAAGATGGCTAGTTAGCCTAGGACTCACAGTTATGCAGTACCAGTACCAGGGGTTGTCAGTCACACACAAACACACTCGAATTTGTGAGTGTGTTTGTGGAAGCAAATACATAGGTCGTACGTAAAGAAAGGCGATTGTCTACTCATCGCATGATGCGGAGCATTTGCCAAAGCGGTTGAGAACAGCTGAATGCAAAGTGACAAAAACCTTAATCACAAAGAAGTATTTTGTGGACTATGGACATGATATCGACGCTGTCAAGTCATTCACTGTTATTGTCAGCAGACAAAGGAACAGGAAGATGCTTGCAATTGCAGAGGAGGCTTGTGAAATTCGAGTTTATAAACCAGGTGGTTTCTGCGCACAAAAGGAGATGGTCGTCACTCTGAATCTACCATGGTAATTATTATTTATTATTTTTTCCCTTAATTCCTAGAGGAATATAGGGCTTCAGCCGCGCGTCTCCATTGCGTTCGGTTCTCTGCTAACGTTTTCACCTGGCTCCAAGTCTGCCAACATGTTTTCATCTCCTCTTTACATGACCTCTTCCAAGTCACCCACACACTGTCGACCAACTTCGCCACTTCCCTTTCAGGTTCCGTAGAGGGCTTGTCTAGTGATGTCACTTGGTGGTTTGTTTTCTCAGAGTATGGCCAATCCATCTCCATTTTGTTCTGTTTATTTTTTGCACAATCAGTTCCTGGATGGTTCGCTCCCAGAGATCCCTATTGCTGATCTGCTTATTATTCTACCTCTAAGTGATGCGTAATGCAATTTATCTTAATTTTGATCTCTCATACTCTCTCTCTTACTTTATCTATTTGAACATGACCGGGAAAACATTCACACCTATCATTCTGTATGACTAGTTCAATGTAGTCTATTCGCTTATCAGTCTTATATATATATATATATATATATATATAGAGAGAGAGAGAGAGAGAGAGTATTCAGCTGACGGGTCCTACTAGAATTCGATGAATTCACTAAATCCTGATATATTAACAACCTTTGTTGCTTGTTTTAAACACACATATTAGCCTGTAAGGGTTAATGATGATACACTCCTTAGCTGTTCTCTAGTCTAAATTACGTGGAGCAGGGTTCGAACCGTGGTGTCATTGGCAAAGTCAACAGCTTCAGATAAAGACTTGCATCTCAACTAATCGACCATCAAGCGTTCATACATGTGGACTTGTTTTTATTCTTAGAAATGTGTTATTTAGTATTTTGTATAACTGAGAAACGTTAAGGCTACTCAAGAAATTTGATTCCAACTCGATGATTTAGTTATGATAAATCCTCTATAATAAATAATACATGAGAGAAGTGTTGAGTTCAAATGTAGAAGAGATTGTCCCCTCAAACATCCTGATAACCAAAATGCTCTCTCTCTGCCTTGGAATCGCTGACAGCATAAAGAACAAGGTTCGGAATCTGTTCAGTACAAATGTGAAGTCAGTCAATTCTTCTATATGGGTCAGAAATTTGGTCAGTGTGTATCACGAAAAGGCATTTGAAAAACAAGCGCTCTCGCAGACTTTTATCAACAGTTACCACCTTCGTTGGCTGGCTCCATACTGGAGATCAAATATCCGGCCAGAAAGAGTTTGCAACATGAAATGATGCACCGGAACAAACCAGCCAGAAGCCAATTACTCATCAAATATGTAGGATTAAAATGGAGATGGATCGGGCGTACGTCATTGAGGAGGTCGTCGAATGACATCTCGCACAATGCAGGACATAGCTCGAGTGGAATCCCAATGGCAAGCAACGAGTGGGTCGTCACTGCGAGGGCGACACAAAATAGATAAGAGATTAAGGACAATCGTGGAGCTAGCCAGATGAAGAGGACAGCAGAAAACAGAAAAGAGTGGAGATGTGTTGTTGAAGCCAATTATATGTTCCACTCGGGACCCAAGAGGTTAGTAATAATAAAAAATAATAAATATTACACTATTTGTCTTTTGGGTGCCGAGTGGAACACAGACCTTCAGTGGTACTCCTCCGTTGGTATTCTATTCTCTGTGATCTTTTTAGCTGACTACTCCATTTCTCCTTCATATGATTTTACGCATGTCATTCTCAGATTCATGCCTGACGCGTTGCTTTCTCAGTGAGGTCCCATTCGACAGTCTGGTCGGTGTGTAATCATATCACTTAACGGTCTACTTAGTATATGCCCAATTCATCTCTATTATCTCTTGTACACTTAGAACAAAACCCCTGTAAGGATTAGTTTTGCCTACAGATTTAGTCCTTCCTCAGTACTGACGATACAGAATCCTGGCTTAACTATAGTTAAAAACAGAGTGTGACTTGACTTAAACTTTAAGCTGTTTCTAAAACATAAAATAAAGCATACAATTACACCAAGAAAAGTATAAATCCCATTGTCACTCAGGTAAAAACAAAAAAACGTACCGAACAGTATTGAAGGAACGGACAAAATGAACAGTCAATTAATTAATTAATTAATTACATATACATACAATACAGAGTGACAGGAAATTAAAAAAAAACACTCAAGGTCACATCACGTGGTGTGAGTCACACTAAATTAACCAATAATCGCGACAATAGAAGGTCACATAGTATCGATTAAGCTGTCTATCAAACTATCTATCTACCTGTCTATCGCGATTATCATCCCCAATTAGTGGACATTTAGAAAGGCAAAAAGATTGGGCAACGAAGAAATATTTACTTTTCAATTAGATCCTCATCTCACTGTGGCTCTACTCTAATATTAATATATTAGAGTCTGGGAATCAGAGGAAGTTCAATCAGACTGGGGTAAGTCACTTATTATACCGATATTCAAGAAGGGAAACAAGTCCTCGTGTGATAATCATAGGGGGATCAGCCTAACGAACATAGTCTCTAAAATCCTAGGCTCAGTAATCATGCATAGACTAAGCAGAACTCGGGAGGAACAGACAAGGGAAAATCAAGCAGGCTTTAGACCAGGTAGAGGGTGCATAGATCATATCTTCACTCTTCGACAGATTCTAGAACATAGACACACTTTTCGGCGTCCAACAATTGTCATATTTCTTGACTTGAAGGCGGCCTTCGACTCCGTGGATCGAAAGGTACTATGGCAATGTCTGACTGTGAAGGGAGTGCCAAGAAAGTACATTGCACTAATCAAGGCACTCTATTCAAACTCACGTAGTCGTGTAAGGGCTTATGGGGAATTGTCATCTGAATTGGTAACAACCAGTGGTGTCCGACAGGGATGTCCACTTTCCCCATTTCTGTTTAACTTCATCATAGATATGCTAATGGAAGTATCCTTAACTGAACGTAGTGACTTAGGAATCGACTTGTTACCAGGGAATAATCTAATGGACTTAGAATATGCAGATGACATAGTCCTGTTAGGGGAGGATGCTGACAAAATGCAGAGTCTTCTGAACACCTTGAGCAGCAATCTTCGTATGTTTGGCATGCGATTCGCCCCTGTAAAATGTAAGATGCTGCTACAGGACTGGACCACGTCAACTCCTAACTTAGTGATAGGGAGTGAAGTGATAGAACATGTTGACCACTTCACCTACTTGGGAAGTTGTATTAGCACCAACGGACTGATTGGCGATGAAATCTCAGCACGGATCCGAAAAGCTCGAGCTGCTTTCGCTGACTTACACCATCTCTGGCGTAGGCGTGACATCCGGTTATCAACCAAGGGACGTGTGTACTGCTCATCAGTTCGCTCCGTCCTTCTCTATGGCTCTGAAACATGGCCAATACGCGTTGAAGACATGAAAAGGTTGACTGCTTTCGATCATAGATGTCTGCGATCTCTGTCTCACGTTAGGTGGTTTCACAAGATAAGTAATGTTGACGTTAGGCGTAGAGTGTTGGGCAAAGAGGGAAAATCAATCGACGAGGCTATAAAGTTACATAGACTAAGATGGCTAGGTCACGTGCTGCGCATGCCTAACCACCGCCTCCCCCGACGGGCATTGCTAGCTGATATAGGTTCAGGTTGGAAAAGAGCCAGTGGTGGCCAAACAAAAACATGGCCTCATCAATCCATGAAATCCTTGACAGTTAAACTGAGTCAGGTAGGGAGATGCAGACTCCCGGGTTGGGGCCCTCGGGACTCTAGGAATCAATGGCTGGAGACAATAGGTGACATGGCTCAAAATCGTTGTCAATGGCCAGCGAAGATGTATTCAGTCTCTGTAATCTTTCATATTCCTTTCTACCATTACCCATTCTGTTTCACTCTTATACTTGTCAAACTCTATTGATTCTCTTCACTCATCTTCTTGTCTACCTCTGTGTGCTATTTGGAACGTGGCAACTCGAACTGCTGCACTTCGGTGCCAAGTTCTATGTTGAATCCAGACAGACCCAGACAGATATTAGAGTATAGCATTTTTATAACAATATACCCCAATTTACCAATCAAGTGACACAGATACGTCTGCTAACAATAATTAGACAGTATCAACATATCTGCGTGTGTGCACGCACATTAATTTTCTTCGTTAATTATCACCTCCCGTCTTACATGTTGATAATAACTAAATTACATTTAAGATACTGATATGTAGTCACATGATGTCTACTTTGTTTTTGACAGTCTGTCATATTTTGCTATGTGTATATTGATAGATATTCCATTATAACTTACAATATGCTTTAATTGGTGAGTGGTGACTAGCAGTGAAATCCACCAGGATGCGCATTTCGTCCTATTTGGGACTCGTTATCTGGACGTACCTGCATTTTTCAGTGAGTGATGATGTTCCCATCGAGGCTCTCGTTGTCCAACTGGTCTAGTGGATAACGCTTTGCCCTTTGAAACTATGGGCACTAGGTTCGAGCCACAGTGGGAACATCATCACTCACTGAGAAATGCAGGTACGTCCAGCTGACAAGTCCCAAATAGGACGAAATGCGCATCCTGGTGGATTCCACTGTTAGTCACCATCCACCAATTATATACTAAATGCCCAGACATCGTCGAAGCATCTGCATAAGAAGCCGACATGTCAACCTGAGACCGAGCACTTCGGTTCAATCAATCGACGGGAAAATTAAAAATTCGATTATACAATATGCTTTGTCTGTCCATTAACTAAATAAACAATGTATGACCATTTTGTCACATGACATTACAACCAATCAGAATCCAATCATGGTAAGATGTCTGTCTTATTAGTTCATGTATATTAGTCATTTTTGTATATACTTTCATATTGTACACTTTTATACACTTGTTCATACATTTCGTACACTACGTACCCTTCACTCACACACTTGTGTGACAGTCATTATTTTCCTGTCTTCATTAACAAGGTTTCATTGGGGACAAATGATATTTCTACACAAACAACACTTTAGGTAAACTAGAACTAGGAAGTAAAGCTCAGTAACCCAGCTCCTATGAGTCATACATTTGACGTTTATGGATTAATGATAATATCAATGCTTGCCAATCCATGTACGCGATCTGTGGTTCCATTCTCCTACCGCCTTCAATGATGCTTAGGAGGGCTTCGTGTGTTTTTGAAAGTGTTTGAACAGTAGTTACTTCCCGGTTGCCTAACACCATGTAAGTTGATTGATTCTTCGGTGCATCGAAGAATCCCTTGAATTTCGGTTAACCGGCAATAAAGCCGGTAATGAGGAAATGATTGGGGTGTGTGTGAGCATTACTTGAGAACCTAAAAACTTAAGCTTGAAGAGTCCTCCTATATTATTCTACTCGGAATGTAAGGAAATGAAACATACTTGAATGATTATATACTCACAAGGAAAACTGGTTAAACGCCTATATACTTACCTCTGCTTGAGTAGCGCCCAGATCAGTTAGCAGTATTGTGATTCGCCCTTGAAAATCAGATACACCAGCTGGATGTCGTAATAACTGTAGTAAACCATTTTTTAACTTCTTCCTCACAGAACTAACTTGATTATCAGAGAAGTGAGGCGGTAAGGTTACTAAAAACGAAAGCAAAATAGTACATTGTAATTTGAGAAGAGATTAACTCGATTACAGCATTTAATCAATCGAAAAATTTTTAAACAGAGGTGAATAATGAGAGAGAGTATACAGTAATGTCTCTGTCTGTCTGTCTTTTTTCAACATAGAACTTTGCACATATGTGCACCAGTTCAAGTCGCTACACTTCCTCCATGTACCACACAAACCAACAATAGAAAGTAAAGGAAATGCATAATAGAGACAGTTAACAGAGGTGTGAGAAAAAGGAATAGTAATAACGAAGAACGATAGAGTTTCATTGGAAATCATAAGTCACAAGGAGTGGATGCATCTCCGTCAGACATTGAGAACGACTTTGGACTTTGAGCCATGTTACCAATTGTTTCCAACCATAGATTTTTACCGTCCCGAGGACCCCAACCCGGAAGTCTACATCTTCTTACGTGGCTTAGACTAACTGTTGTGGAGTCCATTGACTGGTGCCAAGTTTTTGTTTGACCTCCGCTAGGTTTTTTCCAGCCTGATCCTATATCCGCTAACATTGCTCGTCGAGGAAGGCGATGACTAGGCATACGTAACACATGTCCTAACCATCTTAGGTTGAATCTGCAAAATTCACCTTGAGGGTGTCAAGAGATGCCACAGCTAGTTCACGAGGATTAGCTGGTGTACGGATAGCTTTGAGTACTAGGGCAGAAAATACATTACTTGACTGGATCCCGGTAGATAGCCGAATGTGTGCTGTCCCCATCTGAACGGATCAGTAAAAAGGAGGTCGGAAAACAGCTATTGGAGGTCAAAACAAAACATGGCCTCATCAATCAATGAAATCTATAACAGTTAGTTTAAACCAGCCATCCACGTAGGTAGATGCAGACTTCTTGGAGGTTGGTTGGAGTCCTCAGAATGCTGGTAAGAGCCAATGGGATGCTGGAGACAATTGGTGATATGGCTCAAAATCGTTCTCAGTGGCTGGCGCAGATGTATTCACTCTCTGTGAATTATCACATCTAATAAGACTCTATTTTTCTTTCTTATATTACTATTCTTTTTCCCTCACTCACACTTCTCTGCCAATTATCTCTCTTTTGAATCTGTCTTTATTCCTTTCTCTAGCTTTGTGTGCTTTATGGGGTGTGTCAACCCGAACTTCTGCTGCACATCTGTGCGAAGTTCTATGTTGAAACCAGTCAGTCAGGCGGTCAGCATACAGTAATGCCTGTTTATCCAAATATAAATTTGACAAAAACGTATGTATGTACGAGTACCAGGTAGTTGGGTTTGGTAACTCATCTGGTTCAGTGCACGACGAGTAAGTACTTCGAAAGTCACTGGTTTGATTCCTGCGTCGACTAAGTCTTTCATTTGCCTTGCGATCATCATCCATTATTATTAGTGATGACATGACTCATAGGTTTAAACATTCAACTTTCAGTCAATTGATCTTGGATTTCAAATTCCACTTCACCTTCTTCAAGGCAGGTCAACTGAGGAGGTAACATCAGCTTCCATACTAGAAGTATCCCTGAGAATCTGGTTACCGAAAAATCTGTTTCATGTATCACAGTTCAAAGAGCAAGGAATTGTTATGTGGCCGTACTTCTTAAGCGCTTTTGACTTGAAATCTAGTTTACGAGGTGGTAGAACAGTTTAATGCCGAATTTCAATGATTTGCAGCAGGTATATGGATGACACCCTTATTTTCTTTCTGTGATAATGGTTAGGATAGGAACACAATAATAACTGAATTCAATGAAATACATTCTGCTATGAAATTCACGTGCAAAGAGGAAACCCAAAATAGAATGAATTGCCTTCCTAGATGCCCGCCCCCCTTAAAAGAAAAGCAGATGATAGTATACAGAGAAATCTGCATAGGAATAGCACATGGACAAGACAATATATACATTTCCATAGCTTCGTTCCTCCTCTGTAGGAAAGAAATTTAGTAAGGATCCTCGGCCACATGGTTAGGGCTATGTGCTCAGAAGAAGTAAATGAAGATGAACTAAGGATTGTGTATGACACCCTAACTGGAAATAGCTATCCAGAAAAGTTCACAAAGAAACTTATGATCAAAAAAGCAGAAAAGGTCTGTTCTCCCTCCATATGTAAATCAGAAGTCTTAATACATACGACTGTAATTGAAGGGTGACGTGCCCAGTGAAACTTACTTTACTTTACTTTACTTCGGCTATCTCCTACGGGAGGATGAGCCGGCTTCATGAACGTCTCGAATCATCGCTGCCCAGGCGCGGCAATTTGTAAGAGAGTTCATGAAGTTTCATGGGAATTCGGTACGAGTGATGTCCCCAGAATCGCTCGGCCTTTGTTTGAGAGTGCAGCTCTAGCCTTTACACAACCAAGTGTGACCTACAAGGCAGTAGGAGTGGAGTAAGGAGTTCACTATCCATTGGCAGCCGATGATCGGAGTTCGGTTCATACGCCTTTTTGAATGGGGCCAGACATCCAGGACATCCAACAAGCCCTTTGTCCATACGTCTGCCGGTGAGCTCCAGTGAGCTTCATACGCCAATCGTTGGAGGTTTGGAATCAGGGTTTAGCCATCTCCCCTAGTGAAACAATTACTAACAAGTTAAGAAAACCTATTCAAAGAACTTTTAATGGTGATAAACTACAAGTCACATTTTCTACACGACCGCTTGTGATTCATCAATTGGAAGATGAAATACTTAGACTGAGCTTCTGGTGGGGCGAGTTATATTGGCCGTTGCTCTAAGAACTTGATTTTTGGTGCTCACTCGGAAGCATTTCCCAGTATGACTAAATAAAGGGGTAGTAAAAACCATCAACCATTCGATATTAGACCATCTGGTTCAAACCGGCCGGCTACAAAGCCAGCCAGCATTGAAAAATCCTTCTCTGTCATCATCTACCAGGTACCAAATAAATTTCCAAAAACACATCCAAGTACCTCATACTGCAAATAGCTTAGGCTATCGCGATTCACACGAAACAACCAGTGCTTTGTGTGCAAACGAAGCAAGTTCAGCAGCCACTATTAGCGACCTGGTCAGCCTCCAGAAGAGACTCTAATTTCATGAATCCTGTATTATTATCCTTCCTAATATTTCTGATATTCAGTGTATTATGTTGTTAATGCTATGGAACTGTAATCCATGGATATTATTATTACTATTATTGATTCGATGATATTTAAACAACATTCATGGTGTTAATAACAATAATTCATTCACTATATATATATACGTACAGTGTCAATGTTAGTATCATTTCCTTTAATTCCTAGAGGAATATAGAGCTTCAGCCACGCCTCTCCATTGCGTTCGGTTCTCTGCCAACGTTTTCACCTGGCTTCAAGTCTGCTCACATGCTTTCATCTCCTCTTCAATATGACCTCCTCCAAGTCACCCCACCCTCGCACTGACGACCAACTCGCCGCTTCCCTTTCGGGTTCCACTCGAGTAGTGGCTTGTCTAGTGATGTCATTTGATGGTTTGTTTTCTCAGAGTATGGCCAATACACCTCCATTTCATCTTGCTTATTTGTTGCACAATCGGTTCCTGCTGGGCTGGTTCGCTCATTGCCAGATATCCCTGTTGCTGATCTTCTCTGGCCGGCCATCTGATCCTGAGTAGTATTGAGCGAAGACAACTGTTAATGAAGGTCTGTAGTTTGTTTGAGATGCTCTGTATGACGCGCCAAGTCTCTGATCCGTATATCAAGCAGCACTAACTTCACATTGGAGTTGAAAATCCGGATGTTATCTTCATTTCCATGCTGAGTCATGTTGACCTCCACACAGACTTAAGAGTAATGAAAGCCTGTCTTCCTTTTCCGATTCTGGCTTTGATATCCTCGTCAGTTCCATCCGCCTGTAGTTGAAACGATGCTTCCCAGACAGGTAGGTAGGTAAAGGAGGTTGTTTCTTTCAGGTTCCTCCATTAATGCTGGCTGATTGTTGTCCGTTGCTGTTGCTGTGGCTGTAGGCCATGAATCTTCATCACCTCTGTTTTCTCTATGTTCACGTAGAATCCTATTTTTGATACTTCTTCTGCCAACTTGTTGCTTTTGACTGGCATATCGTCCAGTTCGTGGGAAATCAGACATATATCATTGGCGAAGTCCAGATGTTCCAAGATATTTGCATGAGTCCATTTTATGCCTGTGTTCCTCATTGCCCGTTGTCTGTGGCACTATCCAATCTACTGCGATCAAAAAATCATTGGCGATAGTTATGGAGCCGCTTTATGTGTAGTAACAGTATTTTTATTCATTGGGTTTCAAGTTGATATGTAAACACATGACGTCTACCTTGTTTTTGACAGTCTGATATATTTTGCTATGTGTATATTGATCGATATTCCATTATAACTGACAATATGCTTCGTCTGTCCATTAACTAAATAAACAATGTATGACCATTTTGTCACATGACATTACAACCAATCAGAATCCAATGATGGTAAGAAGATCTGTCTTATTGGCTCATGTATATTATTCATTTTTGTATATACTTTCATATTGTACACTTTTATACACTTGTTCATACATTTCGTACACTACGTACCCTTCACTCACACACTTGTGTGACAGTCATTATTTTCCTTGTTTAGAAAATACACACATCTATTCAACTTCATCATAGATGTACTAACGGACTTAACCCTAAGTGACTTCAGCGACTCAGAGATTGACTTGCTACCAAGGAATAATCTCGTTGACTTGGAATATGCAGACGATATAGTCCTTCTAGGCGAAGACGCTGACGAAATGCAGAGTCTTCTAAACACCTTGAGTTGTAATCTACGAATGTGTGGTGTGCGATTCGCTCCCGCCAAATGCAAGATGATGTTACAGGACTGGACTACATCGACGCCTAGTTTAAAAATAGGAAGTGAAGTGGTAGAGCACGTTGACTGCTTCACTTATTTGGGAAGTACCACCAGCCATCCCCAACGGGTTGATCTCTGACGAAATCTCAGCACGAATACAGGGGGCTCGTTTCGCATTTGTCAGTTTACGCCGACTCTGGCGTAGACGAGATGTTCGACTATCGACCAAAGGGAGGATGTACTGCTCAAAAGTCCGCCCCGTCCTCCTTTATGGTTGTGAGACCTGGTCACTGAGAGTGGAAGACATGAAAAGGCCGACTAGCTGTCTTTGATCATAGGTGCGTGCGTTCTATTTCCCGTGTAAAGTGGCATAATAAGGTGAGCAACATTGAAGTTAGGGGTAGAGTTCTAGGTAAACAGGGGAAATCAATCGACGAGGTCGTGAAGTTACAAAGACTGAGATGGTTAGGACATGTGTTACGTATGTCAAGCCATCGCCTCCCTCGACGAGCAATGTTAGCGGATATAGGGTCAGGCTGGAAAAAAGCTAGCGGAGGTCAAACAAAAACTTGGCTTTACCAGTCAATGAAATTCACAACAGTTAGTCTAAGCCACGTAGGAATGTGTAGACTTCGTTATTACTCCTTTGTCTCACACCTCTGCTCACTGTCTCTATTATGCTTTTCTTGTACTTTCTTCTCTTGCTTCGCGTGCTACACGGAGTGTGGCGACTTGAACTGGTGCACATCGGTGCAAAGTTCTATGTCGAAAACAGACAGACATATCATCGTGGTGGTCTTCTGATTTCTCCTTTTTCACGTCAGGACAATTAACCACTCAGCAGCTGTACATAACACAAGTGTAATATACAAGGTCCAAGCGACACACCTTCGTTGTATACGGCTATCCCCTATGAATATCAGCTCAATATTCACGACTGTCCGCACACCTTTATTTCCTCTAAACATGTTCCCTACCACCACATCATGCTCGGACACACACGTCCAACTCGTTGCTTCCCATTCGAATTTCAGCTGAAAGGCCTGTCTGCAATATAGTATCACTTGGAAATCGTCTTAGAGTATGCCCAATCCAACTTCATTTTCTTCTGTAAATCTGTTGGATAGTAAGTAAGCTCTTGGTTGGCTCAATACCTGCTTATTCTTCCACACTAGTTTTTCTGATAATCTTCAGTATTAGGCCAGTGAAGGCAGTTAGTTGTTGATGAAATTCTGTAGCAGGCTATTGAAAATAACTTATGCCTATTTGAATAGAAGAACTGGGGAATCAACACAACGCAACTTCTTTTACATACATTTTTTTTGGAGTTAGGTATATGCGCATCTTAACGATTAGTACTTTATACAAGTGTTGGTTTACAGGGATTTGATTGGTTTCAGGATTTCATCATGAACTGACATCGGTTAGAGGACCGTTGGAGGAAAATCTATGAGTACTAGACAGCTATTTCGCCTTAGTTTGGAGCTCTTCAGCATTACGCACCCACTGGTTACAATGCGGGCTTGTAGACCATTAAGCCACTGGGATCTGATCCGATGGCCATCAGATGAATTCCAACTTCTGCCATCTCAGGATATGACGCGACTACTAGCGAATGACATTGGCGGCGATTATTTCTCCTCACATTCATCCTCTAACCGATGTCAGTTTATGTCAAAGCTTAGCCAGAATCGGAAAGGCAAGATATGTCTGCGTCGATTTGAAACCGCGGCGGTGGCACAGCCGGGTAGGACGCTTGCCGACCATGCACATCGTCCGGGGTTCGATCCCCGGCCACAGACGCACTCCTTTACATCGCTGAGCCAGAAATAATGCTAGTAAAGAGGAAAGGTTGAGCATGAGGCTAGCCACTACATCCTGTAAAAATAAACACTGCTACAGAAACTTCAACCACTAGCTTGAAGCCCTATGTTCCACTGGAGAACGTGAAGGATTTGAAACCAGTTTGGAAATCGGATTTTCAACAGCAATGCTAAGTCAGTCAGTTCTTCTATATATATCCTCAGAAACTTGGAGCTTCACGATAAGTATTTCATCAAACAAGCTACAGACTTTTATCCAACAGCTGCCACCTTCGCTAGCTCCTTCCTGAAGATCAGATGATTGGCTATAAAAAGAATTAGTAACTAGAAATTCTGGGAACGAAACAGTCAGGAATCTACTGTCCAATAAATATATAGAAGAAAGTGGAAATGGATACAGGAACACACGTTGAGGAGACCATTCAGTGACATTGCTTCCTAGGCCATCGTTCGAGTGGAATCTGAATGAGAAAAACGATGAGTTGGATGCCCATAGATGACACATAGGAGATCGTCATGTAAATAGATGAAAGCTTATGAGTAGTCGTGTGGTCAGTTGAAGAGGACTGCAGAGATCAGGACGCAATTGGGTCTTATGCTCCACTAAGAACCCAAGAAAACAATCAATAGTAAATAATCAATACAAAATACAAAATTACCATGAACTGTTTCAAATGCTTGCACAACACGATCCATAAATTGTGGTCTTTGTCTAGCAATATTCACTAATGAATCCATTACTGCTTCAACAACTGGACATGTGACTGATCCTGCAGTAACACTAGGCTTTCCACGTACAGGCCAACTTGATAAACCGGCGAATAAACGTTCAGCTTCCTCTGCCAACCGATGCGGTCTAACTAAACAAACACCGGGAAGAAGAGTAGCTGATGAAGCGGCTGTACTCGCCTCTAGGATAGACTGTAACTGGGTATTTGTAAGCGCTGGTATCTGATCTAAGGATATATCACCTTCATTGGCACGTGGGATTTCAGAGTTGGGTAGACGACGAGAGTGTAAAATAATTACACACTAAAAAAAAGGAATAACAACAATTAGAGTATTACGTATATCATTTTAATTATTATAATTAATGCACTATTAACAATACAGTATTCAACGAAGAAACTCTTTTCAAAGGTGTGAATACTAAAAAAAGTATAACGTGAAATTTGATTAATATTGCTGTACACAGTTTAAAGACATAGGAGAGGAAACCAATCGACGAGGCTGTGGAATGACATCCACTGAGATGGTTATGACAAGTGTTACGGATGTATGCCTAGTCATAGCATTCCTCGACCGATAAGCAATGTTAGCTGATATAGGGTCACACCAGAAAAGAGCTAGCGGCGGTCAAACAAAAACATGGCACCAGTCAATGGAATCCACAACAATTAGTTTAAGTCAGCCTTCCACGTAGGAAGGTGTAGACTTCCTGGTTTGGGTCCTCGGGATGGTGGTAAAAATCAATGGCTGGCGATAATCGGTGATATGGCTCAAAATCGTTCTCAATGTCTGGCAGAGATGCATCCACTCCTTGTGACTTATGATTTCCAATGAAGCTATATTGTTCTTCGTTATTACTATTCCTTTGTCTTACACCTCTGTTAACTGTCTCTATTATGCATTTCTTCTACTTTCTTCTGTTGCTTTGTGTGCTACATGGAGTTGAGTGTGGCGACTAACACTGTCGCACATCGGTGCAAAGTTCTATGTCGAAAACAGACAGACATAAAGACATAGGGGGTTGCCAACAGACTACCTGAACGAACTCTTATTAAGACGGATGTCCAACACGTTCAGTTCAGTTCAGTTTCAATAATGAAATTTTTAGACAGAGAGGAGAGGGTATTGTGATGGGATTACAGTTGCATCAACTAACTGATGGCTGACTGTTTCATGGGAAGACTTGAAAATACTCAACTTGATCGAACCATGTCACTTTGACATTTATAGAAGCTACGTACGTAGACGACTCTTTCGCCATCTGCGACAAGAACGTTTGCATCTAACAACTACCACCTCACTTTGCAATTCACCATAGAAAAGGAATTTGAACTAAGCAGACCATTTTCTTGATGCGTGCCTTAGTAGACGTAATGACAGATCTCTCCAAAAGATCCATCCACCGGAAACGTATATGGAATGGACAACTAACTGATTTTTATAGTTGGGTGTCTATTTCCAGGAAAAAGGAACTTAGTCCACTGGTTCTGATTGCGCTGACTCAGAACTTTCTTTCCTAAGAGCCATACTTGAAGAAAACAGTCACCCGAACCGATTTATTGACAAAAACACAAAAGATGTCTGTCTGTTTTCGACATAGAAATTTGCACCAATATGCAGCAGTTCAGGTCACCACACTCCTTCCATGTACCACACAAAGCAAGAGAAGAAAGTAAAAAGGAATGCGAAATAGACACAGTAAACAGAGGTGCGAGACAACGGGAGAGTAATAACGAAGAACAAAACAATTTCATTGGAAATCATAAGTCACAAGGAGAGGGTGCATCTGCGCCAGACATTGAGAACGATTTTGAGCCATATCACCCAAACAGCCAAGAAGTCTACACCTTCCTACGTGGCTGGCTGAAACTAACTGTCAAAGATTTCAGTGACTGATGAAGCCGTGCTTGGGTTTGACCACCACTGGCTTTTTTCCAACCTGACCTACCCTATGTCAGTCAAATAACATTGCCCGTCGGTTGAGGAAGACGATGGCTAGTCATGCATGTGTAACACATGTCCTAACCATCTCAATACATGCAGTTGCTTCACAACCTCGTCTATTGATTTCCCCTCCCTCCTTACCTAGCACTCAACCGATGCCTAACCTCAATATATCTCACCCTATTATACCACTTCACACAGGAGATAGAACACAGGCAATTATGATTAAAGACAGACAGCTAACCTTCTCTTAACGTCTTCTACTCTCAAAGGGCAGGTCTCACTCACAGCTATAAAGGGGGACGGAGTGGAGTGCTGAGCAGTATACACGCCATTCGATCGATAGCCAGCAGGATATCACGTCTACTAAGACAGAAACGGCGTAAACTAGCATATGCGGAAGGAGCCTTTTGTATCCGTGATGAGATTTCGCCAGAGATCAACCCGTTGGTACTGGCTGATGCAACTTCCCAAATAAGTGAAGTGGTGAACACGCCTCGTTAACCACTTCACTCTCTATTTCTAACCTAGGAGACAATGTAGTCCAGTCTTGAAGTATTCATTCTCTGTAACCTCCAATATGCAATAAACCTTCATGGTTTTTTTCCCACGTTACCAGACTTTCTCTCCCATATATCTGCTTACTACTGTTCCTTCGAACCTTTTCTATTTACCTTTTTTGTCTTCCATTGGTATGAGACATGGAGTGGCGTAAGTTGAAGTGCTCCACTCCTGTACAAAGTTCTATGTTGAAACCATTCAGTTAGTCAGTTTCACTCAAAACTCAAGGGAATAATAATAATAACTCATCCAAATAACACTTTGGTAACAGAGATAACAAATAGGAAATAGCAAAATAAAAGAAACAAGAATTAAAAGTAGCATAAACTAACTTGAATAAGACTAATTGCTTGAATTCGTATCACATCACTATGCAAGATTGAAGGATGATATTGACCAAAAACTGATGTTCCTGATACTTCCATTGGTAACATCAATCGGACAAGTTCATCTTTAAGTCCAGCTAAACTACGAAATGTTTCCAAAGCGATATCAGCTGTTGAATTGGCAGTGATTCCACTACCACTCCCGATTGCTACACCAGAATCAATTATACCAATTTTAACAGCACATGATAAAGCAGTACGATATATTGGGATCATTGATGACATAAGACGCTTTAATAAACTGATAGATGGTGGTTCTTGTTGGATTGCTGTAGAAAAGAGATAGAATAATGAGCCAACTGCTCTTTTCAGTAGACCTGTATCAACACGACTGTAAAATGCAAAAAGAAGAAAAAATAAAGAGAGAATTTGTTCAAAACAACTAAATTTAAAGAGGAGGGGCGCAGGACACAAAGACAAATTATGTTTTACAACATCAGATAAAACTAAATTGAGAAATAAACATTCTCTAATATAAAAGCCTATGTATTTACTAATGAATGGAAAAATAAAAAACGATATTAGTGTTTCTTTACTGACGCTTGACCATTATTTAATGCTGACAATAACTGCGCTAGTGTACCAGAAGCTGATTAGTCTACGAGCTCAGTTTGTAACCTGAAGGTCTTGGGTGCGTAGTGCTGTTGAAGAGTTACAAGCATCAGGGTGGAACTGCTGTTCAGTACTCTCTGGCTTTTAAGCCTCGGTATTTCAGTGGTGGAATACTTGCCTACGGCGTTCGATTCCCAGCTGACGGACTCCTAGACCTCACTTAGCTAGCTGGTAGTGTACCCCGTAAAGAGAGAAACAGTTGAGCATGAGGCTAGCAACTCCACCTCATAAAATATGAACATCACTACTACCGAAACTCCAGAGGTCAATCTTGAAGTCTTATTTTCCATGTAAAACGTAAAGATAGTTTAAAAACATCGCCATCATTAATTCATTAAAGTAATATTAAACCAGAGATAACTTTCACGTTGTCAAGGAATGTGAACTCTTTAAGACAAACCATGTGCAGACTGTTGGATTTGAGGTAAATGTATGAAATTATACGAACAGTATGTGTTTACACACTGAAATTGCTCATCGTATTCGTATTGATTTTGTCGCCTTTTTGGAGGTGAAGGGTGTTGGGACTAGGTTTCATTTTGTCTTAATCTATCAATGCCTTATTCAGATAATTTGAATTCCGTTTATTATATATGAGACCTTCTTTATGACTCTTTGAAATGTTTCTGAATAATTTCAATGATACCATAGTCAATTTTGCAACCTGACTCCATAGAATGGCTGTCTTCGACCATAGGAACCTGCGTTCTATCTCCCGTGTCAGGTGGTGGTATAATAAGGTGAGCAAAATTGAGGTTAGGCATCGGTCGAGTGCTAGGTAAGGAGGGAGGGGAAATCAATCGACGACGCTGTGAAGCAGCTGCATGTATTGAGATGATTAGGAGATGTGTTACGTGTGCCTAGTCATCGCCTTCCTCGACGGGCAATGCTAGATGACATAGGGTCAGACCGGAAAAGAGCTAGCGGCGGTCAAACAAAAACATGGCACCAGTCAATGGAATCCACAACAATTAATTTAAGTCAGCCTTCCACGTAGGAAGGTGTAGACTTCCTGGTTTGGGTCCTCGGGATTGTGGTAAAAACCAATGGCTGGCGATAATCGGTGATATGGCTCAAAATCGTTCTCAATGTCTGGCGGAGATGCATCCACTCCTTGTGACTTATGATTTCCAATGAATCTACATTGTTCTTCGTTATTACTATTCCTTTGTCTTACACCTCTGTTAACTGTCTCTATTATGCATTTCTTCTACTTTCTTCTGTTGCTTTGTGTGCTACATGGAGGGAATGTGGTGACTTGAACTGCCGCAATTCGGGGCTAAGTTCTATGTCGAAAACAGACAGACAGAGTGACTTGAAAATTTCTCCGCGTGATCGAATAGAGAGGCTCTACGATTTTTTCGGCTCTTTTCTGGTATTGATATCTCGCGGGTTTTGTTCCATGTAGATTAAATCACATCACATCCTAAATATTTTATTTTAATGGGGCAATCAGGTTGTAAATCCTTTAGAATTCGATCTTTTATATGAAGGGGGCTGTTTTTTAGTCTGTCTGATGTGTGGTTGAAGAGAATTATGGTGTCGCCTTTATTGAATAGTTTTCTGATATCGACTGACGGTGTTTGATTTACAAGGAATGACAAGTATTGAGGTTTATGTTTTCGAAATACCTTTTCGATTGTGTTTAACATCAGTGCTGACTTTATCAATAAAAAACTCTATAGATACTTATCTTCTTTTTCTTGAGGATTTTAGCGATACTTGATATTTCTTCTTTTCCGTCTTTTTTTGTTTACAGCTTGAATCCACACCGTATTTTTGGTACAAGTGTGGAATTTTCAGCATGGATATCGGTAGCCCAAATTTCGCAGGTCGACCTTATGACGTGTGCGTCGGCAGGTGATCAAACCTCGGACCATGTGCATGGTCGGCGAGAATCTTGACCACTGTGCCACCGACGCTATCCGCTGTCCTTGAGTGCATGTAAACGATCCGACCGATAGCTACTACCTTGCCTTGGTGGTCGGGCTTGTATATCACAATGACCTAACAACCTACACTAGTTGGAACTAATGTTCCTCAAGGTTCTACCATACCAGGAAGAATCTTAGGATAGCGAATAGACTAAAATTAGTAGGAAATCTTTTACATTATGTTGGGGGTCTGTGGACTAAGTCGTACTGCTGGGGAACAGGGGTGTAACATCAGTGAAGTGTTTCCCTCAGATGACCAGCATACTAGTTATGCATGCTGTCTCTTCACTATGGAGAGAGGGGGGTTAGAAAAGGTCGACACCAACAATTCTACATCCCAATTACCCTCCGGTGGTCTGTAACCGGCGGTAAGTTTACTAATACGGAACCAATCCAAGAAACTAGTTCATTCAGGCCGTAAGACCGGCCTGTGGTCACGCAACGCTAATTCTCTTTCTGTTTCAGGTACCCCAAGAAAAAAATAACTTCTACGGTGTGGAGCAGACGGGAAGTAACAACCGCACACACACTTCCAAAAGCACACGAAGCCCCCCTGTGAATGACTAAATTACTCCATATTTAAGCCTAGATCTTGTAAATTCTGGTTTAATATAACTACTTTGTACATTTATTCCCCTTTATGAATTTAAATACAGCAAGAACAATAGTTTGTGAAGAATAAGACGGTATCAACATTTATTTCGTTGGTGACAATATCGCAGGAAGTCATCTGAGGATTGAATACGCCTATAACGGGAAACTATCCTGCAACTAAGTTGGTTCCCATTTATAAGGCAACATCCTCTTTGGTGAAATTGAAAGTAAGCAGATACCTTACTCAAACTAACTGCAACTCTGTATACAAATTTACATGCATATGGGGGAGCAGTTATATTTGGAGAACAAAAAGAAGCGTACACCTTCGATTTTATGAACATGTGCTGAAAAGCCTACCTCTCAAGGGAATAAACGCTTATAATACAGTCGTTATTAGACATCTCATCAATATGGGTCATGAGGTGAACGTCGCAAAATATATTGTACACGGCACTTTGATCCAAAATAGCTATCCCGAAAAATTTACCAAGGAACACACGACAAGGAAAGCGGAAAAGGACTACTCGGTGGCACAGTGGTTAGGACTCTCGCCGATCATGCACATGGTCCGGGGTTCGAGCCCACGCCGACGCAACCTGATATCTATGGTCGGCCCGCGAATTTCGGGCTACCGATATCCATCTGAAATTCCACATTACCAAAAGTACGGTGTGGAATCAAGCTGTAATCAAAATATAAAAAAAATACTCTACTACTATCTGTAAACAAGAAACCACTTTATATACGATTTATAAACGGGCGATTTATACCAAGTGAAATAATTACGAGGAAATTAAAAAAATCAATTCAAAGAACTTTTAATTCTGGTGAACTACACGTAGTATTCTCTACACGACCGATGGTGCTACCTCGACTGAAAGATGAAGTACCTAAGCTAGCCACTTCAAATTGCATCTAGCAATTCAACTGCGCTTGTGGTGGAGTGAGTTATATTGGCCGTTGCTCTAAGAACTTGATTCTTCATGCTCACTTGGGAACAATATTCCCATCTAATCGTAGAAAAACAGGTTTGAGAAACAGTCACGTAATAGCAGTAGGTTGAGCCTTTGAAATGTATCAACACTGGTCGTATTCGTTATTGAAGAACGAACTTATCTGGATGGAATAGACCAACAATTCGACTGCCCGCTGGGCTAGAACTATCATCTTATGTATTTATTTTTTTAAAGAGGACAGTCAGGGTACATACTGGTACAATATTTTAAGCTAATAATCTAACCAATCTATTAGGCTAATATCTGTAAGCTCCATATGTCTCATTTTTAAATCTTATTAGTGTCGCGTGGGCTAACACAGCGAATGAACGCGCAAACTGTCACAAAAGATGAATTTCTGGACCTCTAGTGGGGTTACATGGCGATATATTACAAGTAACTCGAAAATAGTTCAAAACCAACTTGTCTTATCAATACAAAAAAGTTAGAAATGCGGCATAGGTACTACCGGTCATCCAAAATATTTTCATAGTTAGAAAACACTTTTTAAATCTTGAAATTTACCCATATTAAAATGTATGTTCAAAAATTTCCTTACTCTACTTTTACTTTTCCGCAAAAATACTTACCAAGCTTCTTCGATGAAGCCGATTACAGCTTTTTTAACTTCAGAATTAGGATCGTGTTGAAATTTAACAACCTCCTAGGAAGAGTTTAAGTTATGAGAAAAACTAAGTACCTCAAAAAAGCTGTCCAACAAAGAGCTTTCGCGATGTATTAGCAATTCCTTCACTTGAAGCAAATTAGTTACTTTAACACTAGTTGAAAGTGTTAAAGATGCTTCATTAATGAGATTAGCAATCTATAAAATAATAAATGTAAGAAAATGACATAACAAAACCCCACCCTGTCAAACGAGGATTGAGGCATCACGCAGCCTGCTGACGGCCGTAATTTAGAGTGCCCGCGAGTGAGATAAACAAGTGATTTACTCGGCTGAAATTATCCGTAACTTATCAAGGTCATTGGTGGAGAGAGACGCTCGAAGGTCATTTTCATCCATGTCAGTCGGCCATGTTGGATTGCAGTTCCATAGCTGTTCGTCTACGCGTTTGTTGTTCCGTTTATCCTGCAGTTATTCACGCCTTATCTTGTTGCGTATTGTTCACAAATGTTGCGTTTCACCTCGTTTTTTGTTTCCGTTGCCTTTAAAATGATTTATTTCTTTGGTTTTGAAAGTTTTCACTATCAGGTCAGTGCATCCATTCCGGTGTAATTGTTTCATACCTTGCAGTCATGCGTCTTTCTGTGTTTTAGTTGGTTTTCAGCTGTTAATGAATTGGTACTGTGTAGAAGTTTTGGAAATCATGCACATGAAGATGTTTGGCTGGTAGAAGCAGTTGTTTCCAGTCCATTTGTTGGTTGCAGGGCAAAGTTTAAGAATAGAGCCCCAAGAGATGCGAACGCACAATGCCCTTGAGCCGACCAATCAGAAAATAGGAGGAATTTTGCATAAAATTTAACGTATATTTACACAAAAATGCATGAAAAAAAACATTAAACGGATTATATTTCTCTGATATGACTTAAAAATACGTTCCAGTTGCGATGAAGAGTATCAGTTGCTAATTTGGACTAGTTTCTGTAGATGTATTCACCAAAGAGGCTGAAGGTGTGCTGTTTTTGAATGGTTCATCTCTCTTCTCTTGCTGTGTAGTCCTCTCCTCAGCCCTCGGTTTCGTTACTATGGTTCCAGTAAGAGCATCGGCGACTACATACAAGGGAAATAAGGATAACAAAAGAACTTGAAATAAACGAAAAATCTATTCCTAATCGCTACCCTAACCCTAAACCCTAACCATAACCCCAAAACCCTAACCATAACCCTAAACCGTAACCCTAACCACTGTGCCACCGACGCACACAATGACCGTATCCCTAACTCTAACCACAATACTCGCCTAAACCCCTATTCTAACCCTAACGAGATGTTAACACATTGTCAAAACAGTAATAAAAGTGTTATCTGGGTGAAACCTGCAGCTTATTTGATGAATAGGGTTGATATTTCAGCTGTGATAATGACAGGAGCCGTTAGCCAACGACTAGCATGCGTTCAAGGTGATTTGAGCATTGAAGGTTTTGGGACGCTATTCTTAAACTTCGCCGGTTGCAGGTTTTGTTGTTGGCTCATTTGGTTATTTAACATGTAGAAGTCTGGGAAACTAATGTCTTTCACGTTTATGTCTACAGCATGCAACAATTTACCAGTAAATCTGGTGAGGAGGGCACGATCAAAGTTGATATTAGCAAGGTTCTCAAAGAACATGACTTGGAAAATTAAGAAGAAGCTTTGAAGCTTTTTGAGAATGTGAGTATACCATCAGTGTGTCTGTTATCATTTAGAAAGGCATATGTTGTGAGGGAATCTAAGTCATACGAGGTTGAGCAGCATGAAAAGTATGAATCTGTTGTGTTTGTGTGTATTTTGGGGAACTGAAAGAAACTAAACCCTTAAGGGTAAGTGTTACTTATGCTTATCATTGCTTAATGTATTAGATCCAAATACATGAACTAGGACTGCCTGTAATAGAGCCAGTGTTAACATCCATTCGATGTGTTGCAAAGCGGATAAAATACAATGATCTGGTAAGCGTACGAACTATCCCAGGTAAAGGTAAGACATTAATTAAGAAGAATAACGTTTCGGGTTGTAATTTACGATCGGTGGTTTCCTCGAAGTTGTGATTTTTCCGTGACTGTAAACACGGATGTCCATGATTTTTAAAAAAGCTCTAAATAAATTTTCCTTGAACCAGTAGTCTTCTTTTCTTTGGCAAAACATCCGTTGATACGATTATACGATTAGGTAGCGAAGTAGGATGTTCTGTGACTGAGAATCGTGGTTGTTGTGTCGGACTAATTTTGCGCATCTCACTGTTATAACCACGCGGATATAGCGTTTTCCTCATGGTACATTATGATATCTAGAAATCATAAGCAAGCTGCCATCGGTAAATTTATTTTTACTTTTTAAATGACTGCAAATAATGAATCGTTTGAGGTGATAGGGTGGATACCTCTGAACTTTTTTGTGGAGACTAGGGTATATTCAGTTTTTTGGAGTAGGAGACGATCTTTTCACCACGAAAGTTCTCAGAATTTCCTCTTTTGCTTCGTTATTCAAAGATAACGTTAAGTTGCACACTAAGGTAGTAGCTATAGTAGATTACCTTCAGCGGAAGCCACTCAAGGGTAACTACGTAGCTTTAGGTAATGCGTCATAGAAGTAAGCATCGTAGGTTAGTTGTGTCTAAATGTATTAAACGTTGTATAACTGACCAAACCGTAGTTCTTACATACGAGTTAGTTTTGTAAATAATGAATGTACCGTACAAGCGTTTACCTTGATTTGCATACCTAGCTCTTAAACATTATGCCTACATGTGGCATGCATTTAGGGCTAATACGCTGTGATGAATTAGTCCGAGATACTTAAAGTTAGACTTGATTTCTATATCACTATTAGCAATTTCGCAACTGTCATAGGAATTTACACCTTCACGTAACTTTCTTTTACAACGGAAACTGGAAATAACAGTCTGACATTTCGAAGGATTTAGTTTAAAAGCATTTTCTGACTCCTAATAGAGAGCTATTCATCTTAGTGCAGTACAGTACATTTAACAATACAACACTCAGTTTGAGTTTCAGCAAGCTTATTTAACAGAATGTCTCTAGTTACTGGGTCGAAAGCAGGTGTGTTATCTAGGAGGGTGCAGCGAATTTAGCCCCATTGTCTATACTGGAGAAAATATAGTGATGGAAGACTGCAGCTGCATCTAAAGTACTTTACTGTGTTTATAGAAGAAATGTTTCGGATCCATAAAGTAGGTATGCAAATACCACAGTTGTTGATCATAGGAATGATGGATATTAGATAACATCCTATGATTCAACGGCATATTAGAAATAAATAAAAACGGTTTCTTAGCTCATTGTCAAGTGAACAGTCTATTTGATGATGTCACTGCATATTAACAGATTAGTGAAGCAGCTATCAAGCCTAAGTTACTACATTTACTTGTACCACATACTTGGCGTTTAACAGTATACAGACTTGCAACTGGCTAGATAAGGAGACTTTAGCACATTGAACAGTACAGAATTATTATTCAACTTGCTAAATCCCACTTAGCTTTTACAATATACTATTGTGTAGAAACAGACACCAAATCCTATTAATGACTGAAGTAACAGTCTCGTAATACTAACGCGCGCTTTTCGACTATTACGCTACATTTTGCTCATAAATAAAAACTTGTATTACTGTAAAAATTTATACAAAGTGTTTGCGGAATTTATCACAATTATTAACCTTTCGAACACTGAATCCAAAAAATACAATCTTATTGACAGATAATACACATAACCCATTGTTTGGATTTGTGGAATTTTTAAACATAAACACATCTATAATTGTATATATTGTTGGATTTATATGTTCAAGTTGCTCCAAGTCAGTGAGTTTATGGTTAAGATATCATTTTAGTTAACAATACTGAACTATATTGCATGTTGTCTTATTGTATAGTTGTCGTCGCTTTTTGCCCTTTTTTCTGTGAACTGTTTCCTTTGTTGATGTTGTTCTCATTGTTTGTCCGTTATTTTCTGATTTTGAGGGGAGCAACCCAAAAAGTCGCTTCTCTCTAAACGTTAACTTAATGTAATCATTCTTTTCTCAGGCGTGAGGCTAGCAACCCCACCCTGTAAACAAAGTTGCTACAGAACCTTCAGCATAATGAACCTCTTTACACCAAAAGAAAAAGTCTGTATGGGAACATGGAACGTCCGAACTATGTACGAGACAGGGAAAGCTGCCCAGATCGCCAACGAGATGAAAAGATACGGAATCCAAGTGCTAGGAATATGTGAAAGCAGATGGAATGGGAGTGGACTCACCAAATTGTCAACAGGTGAGTCAGTGATCTACTCCGGTCACCCAGAAGACAACCACACGCACACCGAGGGCGTGGCTATCATGATGTCACCAACGGCAACGAAAGCCCTGATACAATGGGAGGCGATTTCGTCCAGGATAATGACCGCCAGGTTCAACTCCAAAGGAAGGAAAGTGTCAATCATACAATGTTATGCACCCACAAACAACGCAGACCTCGAGAAGAAAGAAGAATTCTACAGACAACTACAGGCAACAATGGACAATACTCCAGTTGGCGACATGAAAATACTAATGGGAGACATGAACGCCAAACTGGGACCAGACAATACGGGAAGGGAACTCACCATGGGTAGAGAAGCTCTAGGAGAAATGAATGAAAACGGAGAACTCTTCGCCGACTTCTGCGCCTTCAACGAACTGGTGATTGGTGGCAGTGTATACAAGCACAAAGATATCCACAAGGCTACATGGGTGTCACCAGACGGGCAAACCAAAAACCAAATCGACTTCATCTCAATCTCAAGAAAGTGGAGGCGCAGCCTACTGGACACAAAAGCAAGAAGAGGAGCAGACGTTGGCTCAGACCACTATCTCGTACAAGGGACAATCCAAATCAAATTAAAAGCTTTCAGGCAATCAGGAGCTGCAGATAGGCCACAAGCCAAGTTCAACACTCAAAAGCTGAAGGACCAGGCTACAAAGGACATCTTCATTGCAAGCATAAAGGACAAAGCTGAGATACAAATCAACACCAGCGAAAAGGTCAGCGTCGAAAAGCACTGGAACAACTTGAAAACGGTGTGGAGCCAAACCTGCATAGAAATTCTAGGCAGAAAAAAGAGACAGAACAAACAGTGGCTCACTACGGACACTTGGAAACTAATAGAAGAGAGAAGGACAGTGAAACAAAAGATTATCCAGTGCACTGACGAGCAACAAAAACAGGAGCTGAATGCAAGCTACAATA